AGTCATCGATTTCATAGTTGAGAAGTTGATAGCTCCTTTATTTAAGTTTCCACCTCAATGCTCTGTAAGAATATTATATTTCATTTAGGATGTTTTACAGCAGCAGTGATCACGACTTCACGGTGATCTTGATAAATTTATTTATTTTATAAAAAACCAATGACACATCCTTACAAACTAATAATGCCAACATGAGTGAGTTACAATAATATACTTTATATATATGTGATATAATACATTATTGTCTATGTTTTAAACCGTTCGTAATACCGCCTATAAATGCGAAAAGTTTACTTGGGTTTTCGAGTTGTTCGTACTATTAATGCGAGTAGATAACACAATTGGGAAAGAGAGATTCTCAAGTGGGCGAAGACTGATTCAACAACGACCGCGACGGTTCAACAGCTTAAGAATCTTCTTAGCAAATAGACGCCAAACCCAGTTAACAGAATATATATTGTATATTCTTCAACAAACAAAAGAACTTCATTGTCACCACAAGAATATTACAAATACAAGATTTAATTTGAAGAGATTACAAAAAAAATGTAGCCAGAAACGGGGGCTTTATCGATAAAAATCGATTTCTTCGAGATAACCCTGAAGATGAATATTCTAATAATGATATTAAGTAAACTAGAACTATAATAAGATAAATAGTCTAGACATAATTATCGAAAGAAAATTGCTTGGAATCTATCACTTATATGAAAGACTAAATAGAACCACTCCATCTACCCTTAATTAATATAGAATTAAGACTGCCTGTCAGTCACGGTGCCTCAATTACTTATCCTGGATTGACCGTAGACGAACTGTCAATCTGGCAGTGATGGAAATTTGAGCTGCAAAAACAGGGCACATTATTCCATCCTTACAGCAGCTTTTGAAGGAATGTGACGTTTTATCATACACTAGCTGTGCCAGCGACTTCGTCCGCGAGAATTGTTATTGTAAACACTTTTCTCCCGACGTTTCGGATGCTTTGCAGCAGCCGTGGTCACGGGGAGACACGACGAACGGCCAAACCTCGGGCCAAAGTTAAAAATAATTTCCAAATAAGTTTAACTAATATATCGCGTTTTAAACCGTTAAAGTGTTTTATTTAAATGTGTACTACTCGCGTAAACTATAGACAGTATTTAAAAGCCGTTACTCACGACGTCGTTCGCGTCCCCACCCGTCGTTCTTACAAGTTAATCTTGAAAGATGGACATATACTGTCGGACTTTTTTTTGATCATTTAAAGAGGAATCATTCGTTCATATATATTTTTTTGGTATCTGGAACCGTTTTTGCAGCGTACGCCTCTGAAACCCATTAATAATTTTCCCGAATTGTTTCTCATTTCTCGCTATATGTTCGCTTCTATTAGTCACAGCGTGATGTTTTATAGCCTATAGCCTTCCTCGATAAATGCTCTAACCAACACAAAAATAATTTTTCAATTCGAAACCGTAGTTCCTGAGATTAGCACATTCAAACAAACTTTATATATTAGTATAGATTTATAGTCTTTGTACAAGAAGTAAAATTTGGCTGCGTTGGAAGAAATTTGTGTTTGCAGCATTGGGTTTAGTAAATATATACATAGTAGTTGCCTGTAGTTAACTCGAGTAGTACAGATTTGAACACTTTTAACGGGTAAAAATGCGAAATATTTCCTTCTTTCTTTTCAGCTTTCTCTTCGTCACAAGCCCAATGGGTTAGAGCTGACGATGCCGGTTCAAGTCCTGCCCGAGTCGTAAATTTTCTCAATTTATTTTTGATTTTTCATTTACATTACTTACTAATAATTATTATCGGTTTATTACACGAAGAATCTTCCATTATTAAAAGTTTGTTTTACTCGTACTAATTTCAGTCTGTGTCTAATTTCCGAATATCCTAAACCAAAATAGATCCACTGCACATCTTGTTTTATAGCTAGGTTCTTGACCCTATGTGAAAGGACGTCAACCCTAAGTTTGAATTCGTGCAAACATCTACAAAACTCTCACACTACAAATATATAGATACAAATATTGTGACAGCCCTACGTTTATCGGCTGGTGGGGGGTAGAGGGTGGACGGGGATGCACTCAAATCATTAGCCAGATACATTCCGTGTGAATTAGCCGCTGGACTCGCGGGACCGACTGTTAGATGATTAAAATACCTTCGCACATGCGACCAGGTGGGGGCTAGAATGCTAATACCGGCGTGCTTACACTCGTATGTACTTTACGTGAATTGAAAAAAAAATACTTGCGATGTTCAATTGTTTTATGTGCAAGTAGACTTTGTCCTGAGTAAAGCTGTTTATAATGGTTCTTGAGGATTTGTAACTCAGTACCCCATGCTTTATAAAGCATTAAAACATACTACGAAAGTGTTCTCGAGTTGGAAATATTAAATTATAATGTGAATTTTGCTCAATTTATCATACAACTATGAACCAAATATTTCCCACAATTGGGACTTGTTAAAGGGGTTTATTTGATTTAACACGCCACCTGGCAATTTTGGTAGATCGCAGATGAAATACTCCGGCCATGTAACATCTCATATAGCCGCGCTGTCTACCTATTTTGGCTGTGAATATTCGAAGACCGATATACTGAGACCCGAAACATGAAAAACCTTGACGGCTTGTTCACCTCTGAATGGCGGTTCGTTACCCGGGCAGCATTTCTATATTCCTACCATCGATTGAACGTCCAGAATTCCAAACAACGACATGTTTCAGAAGCATTTTAAAATTTTGTTTTAGAAGTGTTGTATCTGGTAGCGATCGAACTCAAGACCTGATAATTAGTAGCTATACATTACTACTACCACTATGCCAACGAAATCGTTCTATATATAGTCGATATAATTATAAGGTCAATTAAATGAAAGTAATATGTTTAAAGCAAATATAGGTCAACAGTACATTTAATGAACGCGGAAATTGTATCCTCAAGTTAACGGTGTCTGTAAAATCTAGAGTTTAAATGTTTAGTACTCGCGAAGTCAGTAAGTCAGTACCACCAAACAGACAATTTAGAGCCAGCTATGTAAATTTCAAATTTGAAAATTTTGTAGATTTACCCCAAAATTTGGCAAGTTATCAAATCGAGTCCCCCGAGGGTAGAGGGGGCAGGCGGGGTAGTGTCAGCGAGTTCGCGTAAAAGCCTTCCCGTGTCGGGGTGCTGTCAGTCCTCACTGTATTGTCTCCAATTCAAACCATGACTCACTTGCCAATATATGTTTAGTGATGTTCACGCTATTTACAAGTTGGGTAATCGCGATTAATAAGGGAACAAACATTCAAAAATTTTAAAGACGTTTAACCCTATTTCTCATTGCGTGTAACACACTTATGAGGTCGCTAGAGGCAGAGTAGCCCAACTGCACAGACTTGAGTTATTTATATACTTTAACAATGTAAGTCTACTAGAGCACAGTGACCGAAAATTATAGACATAATTTTTACACAAATAATTGTACAAATTCATTTTCGCTTAAGTTAATTGCGCGTTTTTATTTTTCTCTTCTTTGAAAAACATGTTTTTTGTTATTAGGCCACTCTGCATCGCGATGACGTGTAGACCCCAATAGCTCAATTGGTTAGAGCAAAAGCTCGACACGCGCTGGATTCCCATTCAAATCCTGTAAGTGTCGTAAATTTTGTTAATCTAAAATCGATTTTTAATTAAAACTGTATGTATTTGCTATCATATTTTTTACGTGGATGTGAGCGATAGTTCAATAGATTTCAGATAGCAGAAAGGGTCTCGCCTTCAGCAAAGTACACAAGTCGCTACACAGATTTCCAGGTGACCAGTTGACTGTTGACGTATGACGTCTGAACACGACGAACAGTATATGCATATTATGTAATTAATAAACTATTAGATATATTTAAAAATAATGATATACTACTTTTAATGATGATTTTACACAAGTGCTGAAGCTATTATGTCTACCGAGATTTGAACCCAGGGCCTTTGCGTTTAATATGGTTGCACGTAAAGCAGTGAAAAGGCGGTTTTTAGGTTTCATATTTAAAACACAAATAGTTTTTCCGTTTCTCTATTAATTAAAGTCACAATATTTTAAAACACAGCCTGCAGGCTGATTCTACTAATTTAATGACGTTTCGATCAAGTTGCAGTCACACTGCGATTAGGTTTCGATTCAGCGCCGATGGTATTCTCTTAATTTGACAACCGCCCATCCAATGAGGTACGCCAGCGAATTGTCAAATACACGCTGGCGCCACGTAAACTTGACGCGACCGTGTTTGACGTTAGACGAGAATACCAAAACACCAAAACGTCACTTCAACTGCGCTGCTGATTAACTTATATTAATACGAGAATCGGCCTGCTGAACCGAAACGCGATCAAAATTCAGGGCTTTTTCAACGGTGGTTCATGAACTGGCGGACGGCATTTCGGCATTCCTATCACCCCATTTGATATCCAAATTTCCAGAGTCCACATTTCTACCGCCAAATAATTAATATTGAAATTTCCAAACGAAGCCCTACATAAGTTGTGTAAGGCTTTCACGGATATCGTTCAGCATATCATTGTTTTTCAGGCCGTTCGGCCGACGTGAGCGAGAGGTTTTGCCATCACGAGCGGACGGCATCATCAGGAGATGTTAACTCCTCGATTGCTCGGAGAATTATGATATGATATTATGAAGAAGCATATACAATGAAAGGCCTACATGTTTCAGCAATGAAGTTGATCAAAAGCTCAGAAAAAGATCAGAAGCTGATCCCACATGGATTTGCTGAGGACCGAGCCCGCGACTTTATTGTTTATTAACCTTACATTGCTACCGTTATACCAACAAGTCCGACACTAACGCAATCACAAGTAGATCTCAAATCAAGGGTGTATAAAAACGAATATAACTGTCATTTCCAATTCACCAATGTAGGAAGCTGTAGGAAACTTTAAAATTTAATAGTAAATATATGCGTATGTACTTCTGTACAATAATTCCTTGGAGTATAAACCAAAATGACGCCAGAGTAAGTGCTACAAAGTAAAATACTCAGAAAGGTATATTATTTGATACAAATTGCAAAAAGTATCAGAAATGAGTGAAATTCGAAAAACCATGTAACTGCAGCGAAATAATTGTTCGCGGAATTATTCGATTCACGTTGAGTGCAAGATATAAGCAAATGTCGAAAAGATGTAATTAATAAAAAAAACGCATTTTAAACCATTATGCGTTTGTCTTACCTGTAGTTTACGTGAGTATTACACATTTTAATGGAACACTTTTAACGGTTCAATACGTATATATTAGCTAAATTATACAGCCCGACGTTTCCAAATGTTTGCCGCAGCCGTGGTCATTGGGCCCAAAATGTCGGGCCGTAGTTAAAACAAATTGTACATAAATACATTTCGCGTTTTAAGCCGCAAAAAGCGCTTTATTTAAATACTAGCTGTGTCAGCGACTTCGTCCGCGTAGAACAGTTGTTTTGGACATGTATATAAGTTTTTGCGAACTTTCTTCACACCTTTATAAAAAATCGACGTCGGTCGCGTCTCTTCCCGTCGTTCTAGCAAGTTAAACTTAAAAGGTATACATATAGCGTCGCGGACGTATCTTGAACCATTTATGCAGCGTTCGCCTCGGAAACTCATAATGATGAATAATATTCCCGTTTCCTCTTCGCTTGTATTAGACACAGGGCGATGTAAATGGCCTTTCTCGATAAATGCTCTAACTAGCACCAAAATGATATTTCAATTCGAAGCCGTAGTTCCTGAGATTAGCGCGTTCAAACAAACAAACTCTTCAGCTTTATAAATGAGTATAGATATAGAGGTGTTACACGCATAGACAATAAACAATATAGACAACACTCTTTAATATATTGGGCTGTATGTATAAAAGCGTAGATTAGTATTTTTGTGTGTTGATATGTTTGTAACGTAAAAGCTTAAAAACGCTGTACCGATTTCAAAACTAAGTCTCGGTACAGCCCAGAATTTTAATCAATTACTAACTTGTAAATCGATCAGTAAGGCAGACATGTCCCCATGAAAGGAAAAAACGGGATATCGCTGCAAAATCGCTCGGTTCTGTGACTTGGGACGGTTGAAGCCAGAATCGTTAAAACGTCATTACCCCTTCAATACAACGACGTACACAAATGTAACACCTTAGCGATTAAAACCGGGATCAAAAGATTATTCAGGCGAAACAGCCAAGGCAAATACGGACCAGATTACTGTAAACCCATTTTAATAGGCCACATTTGATATTCCATTAACAAAGACACGTGACCTATCTAAATGAAGCGACTAAATATTTCAAAGAACTATACACAACATACAATAGGCATTTAAACTAAACTCTTTTACTGTTTAAGTCGCGAAATCTATTAGATAAACTTAATTACAAATTATTTTAACTACTAATTTTTAAGAGCCTTTTAAATCTATCTATACTAATATATAAAGCCGACGAGTTTGTTTGTTTTTATGTTTGAACGCGTTAATCTCAGCAACTACTGGTTAGAATTTAAAAATCTTTTTGTATAAATGCTCTAACCAACACAAAATAATTATTCAATTCGAACCAGTAGTTCCTGAGATTGGCGCGTTCAAACAAACAAACGCTTCACCTTTATCTAACGTGACAGTATGAGCGAGCCCTTATGGACCACGTGTGTAATTAGAAAGTGCAGTGGTGTATAAAAAAGAGGCGTTTTTCTTCAAACGTGTAACTTCATTATCATTAATGGTCGCTACGACTGTAAACACCTATTTATTCCGAGCCGTACTTAAGTCTCGTTTGAAGTAGTCTAGCTCAACATACCACGCGTTGCTTTTGATGTTAAACGGAACGTGTTTTAAGCCGTCTATTTTGAGGAAACTATATAATACTCGAATAAGTGTAATTTTTCGAATGTAAACATGATAGCTTATATAATAATGTAAATGTATTGCGAACCCGCGACCGAAGCTAGTAATCGTGTTTTACACGTTTTTAATCGAAAATAAAAAATTACATTTGCACTTTGTTTTCTTTAACTGTAGATTTTGTGTGCGGCCAATTCTTTGCCTTTTTTTATCTAATGCTTATCTGAGGATTTAAAGATGATTTAATTAATGAGAAATTTCTTTCTAATTATTATATTACAAAAAAATTTAAATTAGTAGAAGGGAGATGGTTCTCCCCGTGACCACGGCTGCTGCAAAGCATCCGAAACATCGGGCCGAAGTTAAGAATCATTTTCAATAAGTTTAACTAATATATCGCGTTTTAAACCGTTAAAGTGTTTTATTTAAAAAAAGCAATGTTTCAAAAGTTAAGTCATTGTTATTTAATCTTCAATGATGTTGAATGCTGAAAATTTAGACATGAAACAATACATAATTAAGTGAAATCCTGTTATCACCTGCGAGGCAGTAGTACAATAACACTTAACGGTTTAAAACGCGAAATGTATTATTTAAACTATTTTACAATATATTTTAACTACGGTGCGAGATTTCAGATGCCTCGCAACAGCAAACCGTTAAAAGTGTTCTACTCACGTAAACACCAGACAGTGCTCAGGCAAGCAGATCTATTATAGTGCCCTGCCCGATCGAAACAATTTTTCATTTCCCGATAAATTGCAGAATTAGCTACGCAATCGCAAAAAAATCGGTAGTCTCGAACGGGACGCGGTAGTTTAATAGGTCGACAGTCGGTTCGAGTCCCGCCCGTGATAAAGTGATAAACACATTAAAAAGTTCTCCCCAACTACTTCGCTCTTACGCTGTATCATGTGAATTTTCAGATTACAATGAAAAACGCGCCCCCAGCGACGCGCGAACTATCTGCATATTATTCAACACAATACTGAATCTAGTTCAAATTTTAATATTCATAACGAGAGAGACGGAACGATGTTTTTAATCAAATCAAATCAACTCCGAATGAAAAAACAGACGTGTGTTATATTATGGAAATTACAGCTCACAGAAATAATATTTAAATGGAAAATGTAGTGCACACGAAATATAAAAATACATCCATCAAACAGGAATGTGTGTGAAGCCTCGTTTCCCCTCGTGGGGCATGGGGCGAACATACTTCTGTGTCCGTTTCACTGATCCGTTCTTTAACAGGCAAGTCTGACCGGGCACAGAAGTCTGATCTACTATCAGACTTCTGTGCCCTGCCTGACCGAAACATTTTTTTGTTTCCCTGGGATTCGAACTCAGGACCTCTTGCGCTTTACGCAATACGTTTAACCACTTGGCTACAGAGGCGATCAAACAAGTATAAGGTTTAATATACCTTTCTAAAAATAGTAATAATAATAAAACTCTTCATTGGACAAACATAGACACTTAAAATTATTTATTCGCAGTTGGTATTTGGAGGAACTAGATGAGTCCTTACAGGTCTTACTCACGGTATCCTCTCGTTTTTTGATAGGCAGGACGACCTCGAGAAATCAAACCTTTTTACTCCAACGGTGTGACATGAAACACTTGGGAACCCATATTAAAAACTAGATCCCCTTGAGTACTATTGTACTCGTGTCGTTGTCTTCTCGAATTTCTGAAGATTTCAATTCGTACAGCCAAGAATGAAATGATTCAATTAGAGATACGCCAGTTAACTTTCGAGTTGCTTTAGACTGTACGACACGACGTCTTGAGACCTGTTAAATAAAGTATTTTCTGTATGTACGTTGTGTTGACGCCAGTAGTATATACATACACAATGAAATAAAACAAACGGTTCGAAACTAAATATTTTAATTAAAGCACTATTAATATAATGTAACTTCGACCGGTTTCTTGGCCGCTGCTTAGTATCCGAAATGTAGACCTGTGAATTGTTTTTTTTCTATAGAAGAGGAGGACAGACAAACATCTAATCAATCTAAACTTTCGAGTTATTTTGACTTATTATTATTATGTACAACATTCATGGGAGATGGTGGTCTTTAGTCAAGCCAAGACTTACTTTAAGTCGCTACGTCAGTCGGTAACCTACGTAAGTGCTGCTTGCACTTACACGATATCTTTACTAATATTTACAATTTGTACGACCATCATCTATTAATATAAAAGTATTGAAATAATGACAAATATATTTTAACTAATAATTAATCAATATTACCTTGTACCTTGAACTTTAGCACTAAAAAATTGAATTTAAATTATGTCGTGTCGTATCCGTTTCGTGAAGAGTAAATTCATACAAATAGGCAAAGGCGATGGGTCTAAAAGTGTTCAGGACGTCGTAACAATCACGGTATTACTCCGTCAAAACCTACTATACGATTTATTGGATTGTTTTGAATTGAGTCTTTATTTGTGGTATACAAGACACACACAACCTAACAAGTGTGTGGATTTGATAATATTTCGTGCTCATTTCATCATTACAAAAAGTCAGTAATATTCTCCTGTATTACAAAGTTTGTCGTCACAAACATTATTATCTAGTAATTTTAATATCGCAGGAGGGCATTAATTTTTATTAAAAATTCTGGAATAGAGCAAGTTTTTGTAAGAATGTTATACACTGAGGTGATTTTCATAAAAGATAAATCAATAGAAAATAAATCTATTTATAATCAACTAGCTGTGCCCGCAACTTCGTCCGCATAAGATAGTTATTTTGGGCATCCAAAAATGTTGGCGTTCCGTGGGCGTCCCGTCGCTTGCGACCTACTGTTCGGGTCCCGTCGTTCTTGCATGTTAATCTTAAAAGATAGAAAGATATTATTTCTTTCCAACTTTCAAATATATTTTTGGGTGTCTTCAACCGTTTTCGCAGCTTAAGCATCTGAAACCCACAGAGATGATAGCTTGCAAGAGCGACGAGACGCGTCGTGGTGCAATAGCTTAAATCTACAAAGATGAAGAGGAGGTTTCCAAAAACATTTTCGGTGACCAAAATAACTATTCTACGCGAACGAAGTCGCTGACACAGCTAGTGCTACATACAAACTATACTACTATTTACATATATATATATATATAGAGCAGAATACCTTTTCATTATGTACACATTCCAGTGTCTAAGTTAGATTGTAGGTCTGTGTAACGTACAGCCAGTCGAAATTCCAAATACTTAATACTTCGAAACTCTTTGAAGTACGTTAAAAAATTCATTCGTTTGAGCGAAATAAATTGAAAGCGGATCGAAGCGAACTTACAAGTTATCAATAATTCTGATGGATTCTGTCTGTATGTATCGGAGGCTCTTTGCTTTAACTTCTAGTAGACTCAGTTTAACGCATCGGTCGTGTACTTAACTGTACTATTCCGCAAGTTCTATAAATACTAGCTTTTAATCGGTAACACCTAATCGTACATGCCTTCTTCCATAACCACGCGATCTTACACTGGCGTTGCTTGGTGGAAAAGGGCCCCGGTACAGAAAAAAATCGGGTAGTCATCCTCTCTTTCCACATGCTTTGAACGTATATCAGCCTCCCGGGAGCAGGTCGACTGGTCGTCTAACGTCGTCGGTCGTGAGCACGACCCTCACCGAATCCAGCATGTTTCAAATTAATTAATAATTTTCTGAAACATGGACTTTAAAATCTGGACATGAAATGGATCGCGGACCACCGTCCACTGGTGTAAAAGCCGTGAAGTTTGATTGCGTCTTGGTTTCAGTCCGTGGATTTCCGAATTCAACAATCCAAAGTCAAAACAGGTCGACAACACAACTTGTTGTGATGGTGGAGTTTACCTTACTTCAAATAATCGTCTGTCATCCTCTATAATAAAACATATTTATTTAAATAAAATATATATTAACACATTTAAATAAAACACTTTAACGGTTTAAAACGCGATATATTAGTTAAACTTATTTGAAAATAATTTTTAACTTCCGCCTGACGTTTCAGATGCTTTGCAGCAGCCGTGGTCACGGCGAGACTCTTCGTCCTCTCCCTCCCCTCCCCGTCCTCAACAAGTTAACCTTATATATTTCGCGTTTTAAACCGTTAAAATGTTTCATTTAAATGTGTACTACTCGCGTAAACTATAGACAGTATATATTAACACAGTTACGAGTTTTTGTAACATTAGGCTACATGTCGAATGAAAAAAGCCTCAAACCGTGGCCATGAATCGTTCCAAATGCTCACAATTTGTACAGCCTCCCCCCTCCCGATCCCCGGGGAGAGACGAACTCGTAGATCGTCGTTCGAATGAAATATAGCGACAATTTTTAGACAAGTAGGTGAGACTCATTTGCATTGCTCCGGAGGTGCTCATTCTATGACCTACATTGGAGAATGTATGGAGATCCTTATTCAACTTCGTGCACTAATGCCAACTTAGACCTGGTGTATATTCAAGCAGGTATTGTGTCTATGGTATTTAAAAAGTCTTACTTCAATACAAGAAATTACTTAAAAAATAAAAGTAGCTAAATATATTAATAAAACTCTTTTAACAGTTTAAAACGATAAAATAATAAATATATTAGTTAAATTATTTACTATGTGTTTTAACTACAACCCAATGTTTCCGATGGTGTACCATTACTATGAAATATTTATAGTTCAATATTTAAATAAAACACTTTTAACAGTTTAAAACGTTACATATTAGTTAAATAATAGATTTAAACGCGTTTTAAACCGTTAAAAGTGTTTTATTCTGATGCATAACTAGCCAGTAAATATAATCAGTAAAACGCAGTATGTAGGTATTCCATGCCCGACACACAAATAAATTTATTTGCATACGATCAGGGGCATATAAAAGACTTGTACATGCTCTTCCTTCAAATAAATCTAGTGACTTGGATCCTGTCGATCAATAACAAAAGGTTGCATTTGAAAAGTGTACAAAGTCCAAGATCCTACACTGCGCAATTCAGTCCAATTCAATGGTAGCTAAAGACATCTAAATGAGAGTGCCAGGGTATTGTCTCGGCAGCTTTGAGTCTTCACAATGTTAGTTAGAAAAGAACTAGATACATTTTAATTAAAACATTTATTGAGAGGACACTGTAGAAATCCGATCCGAGATCGATTTCCAAAACTTACGGCTATTTTATGAGATTTAAGTACTGTCTGTCTTATGCGAACAGTATACGTTTAAATAAAACGGTTTAAAACGCGAGATATATATGAGGTAAACTTATTTACAAATTATTTTAACTACGGCCCGACGTTTCGGATATTTTCCGGCAGTTGTCAAGGGGAGACTAAAGATGGTGCGTGTCTCTAATGTCAAAGTACGCTACGCTAGCGCCATCTGTTCCGTCGTAGTGGATATATGGCGAAACTGACTAACGGTTTCCTCGCATTAACCCGTATACTGTTAATTGGATTGGGATTTAATTTCTCAAAAATCTTGGAAATGGTGGAATTACACCATTTCCAAGATTCTTGACAATGGAAGTAGTTAAACCATCATTTTGACGTTCAGTGTTTTTGACGGCCAGGGAGCATGCTTGGTACGACTCCGATTTCCTTGAGATACTACCGTTTACCCTTATCATCATCTTAAGCTGTAGTATCCCAACATTTTAATACCTTTTCCATCATTCAAACATCCCTTTTTCGTACCTTTTATCCTTGTGGTAAAAGCAAGCTGTTTTGCAAAGAAGGACTGGACACAGACTTTTTGACAGTCTGTCTCTTGTGAAGTAGTATTACTGGTGTAGATGAAAGTCCTCTCTCAGCCTCTATGGAAGTCGTCTGCTAGACATCCATGCGCAGAAACTCAGCCAGCACTTGGACTGGGACGCCCACACTGCCTTTCATATTCCGGATGGAAGGGGGAGGGAAAAGGTATACTCACCGTGGACTTTTTAACATACCAGCTGGATACGGCAAACCTTTTCACCAACGGATCCTCGATCCAAACCTAGGTAATATACAAATTAAATTACTCCTTTGTGCCGCCAGCTAGAGTTTGTATATTCGTTAGGAAGGCTATATATGAGATAAAGAAATACTCACTTTAGTTGTTGTATGAAAACTACGAATAGTTTTATGTATATAAGCCATTCGATACGACCTCAATAAGCATTTTATAACTATGAAACCAAATATTATATATAGATTCTAAGTAGGGATGGGCGAATTGCATTTCACATTCGGTTTAACCAAATATCGGATACTTGAATTAAACTTCAATATTTGGCTAAAATTCGTCGAGAAATTCTATTATAGATGTGTAACTTATATTGGAGATTAATGGAATGGTATATCTACAAATTGACATTTTCTAATTGGTTTAGAATACTAAAGCTGAAGAGTTTGTTTGTTTGAACGCGCTTATCACAGGAACTACTGGTTCGAAATGAATTTTTGTGTTGATTAGAGCATTCATTAAAGGTTTTGGGCTATAAAACATTAGGCAGCGGGGAACAGCATTCATCTTTGTTGGTCTTATAACTTATATTTATTGTAATAGACGATCGGACAGAACAATTAAATTTTAAATCCACTTGGGTCCAGGGGATATGCAGTTTTAAAAATATTTATCGAACATTAACTAACGAGAACGAGAAGAGGTTCTCGACGTTTCGCCGTCACGAGCGGACGGTATCATGAGAAGATGTTAGTTCCTCGATTGCTCGAAGAATCAATGAATTCTTACGTCGCGCTCACGTCGGCCGAACAGCCCGAAAAACAATGATATGCTAAACGATGGCCTTACACAATTTATTAAATTAAATGATGTACGATAATTTACATATGCGCTAAAACAGTAATCACTGAGCTTGAACGCACTTGATAGATTATCCTGATAATTTAAGTTCTTTTGTTACACTAAGTTATGTTTTAATCTTAACTTGTCTCAATCTCAAGTTATTGATATCGTCATATCTATATAGTCACACAATTTGTATGTAGAAAATTGTATTTGTCTCTAAAGTCATACAGATATTCTATAAATATTACAAAATTGTATTAAGACAAATGTAAATGTAACCGTTTAATTATTATAACTATATAACAACTTATTAACATGTGAAACCGAATTAGTACATTATAAATACAATGTCCAGTTTAAGACATACAATTATAACTCATTTTGAATCATGTATTTTATGTAAAACTTTTCTTTATAAATAAAACGAATTAGTTACTAACAAAACGATTGTTCAACTAAATTTATAATTTAACTATTTAATTTTTGTATAAATGTATTATGTTAGTTTTACGTTGAAATGACGCAACATCAATATGGAATTGCATCATCCGATATGACATCACCGGGCCCATATAATGGCGCCCCAGGCCCCAGCATTCCCTGACACTCGCCCCCGCGAAGCCACAGCGGACGGACTTAAATTCAGGAAACCCCTATTTTCAGAAGCGAGACGCCATACCAGACGGACTTAAGTTAAGTGAGCCCTAGCTTGTCTTTAGTTTATGTGTCTATTGTTATTTTCGCAATAGTAAAAGAAAGTGTATATTTGTTTGACACTTATTGTATATAAATTAAAGCAATAGTGTTTCAACCATATTCATGTCTTCTTATTTATGTGTCAGTTTACAATTTTTAATTAAAAGAGTTTTATATACAAATTATATAATTATATATATAAACGATTAACTACATTTTTAATATTAAAGTTTTTATTAATCTTTTATCAGCAGCGGGATACGAATCAATATAGTGAATACAATACCCCACGCCATGTTTGCTCGCCTAGTTTTATATATATATATAATTTTGTTTTTCTCTTTTCTCTTCTTTATATATATATATATATATTTTTTTTTTTTTTTTTTGAAATAAAGATATTAACGTGTACTTTAAGTACTTATAAAGGGGTGTGACACGTAATTTGTTAAATATATTGAGAGATTTTGATGATGCAAATGGATTATAAATCTCTAAAAAGAAGGCAGTGACGTATTCATATACTAGCAATTGATTTTTGTGCTTAAATTTGTGACGTATTGTTTTAGCCGAACATAGTAAAAATGAAAACCCCTCACTTTAAATGAATAATTGGAATACAACCAGCATCAAAAAAAAAATATATATATATAACATATGTATAAAAAAAAAACTTTTTTTTTTTTTTAGATGGATTCTGCTGTACTAGAAGGTTTATTAATAGCCATCAAGGATGCTGTATCTGGCAACCGTGGTGAAGACGACGTTGTATTGCCACCATTTGATCCAGATAAAAATGACAATGGCGCAGAAAGCTGGTGCAACAATATCGACACTATAGCTAAGGATCGTGGATGGAGCAGCATCACTACTGTTAGCAAAGCCGGTAAAACCCTTAAGGGATCTGCTCTATTATGGTTCGAGACATGGGATCCCGATGAAGGTAGAACATGGAAAAATTTTAAAAACAACATTATTGATTTGTACCCTGAAAAAAAAAATCTGTCAGAAAAACTTTCGAAATCTGTGCTTTATACCTCGGATGCAGCAGATACTTATTGTGAATATGCGAGGGAAAAATTAAGGTTATTGCGTAATACTAAGGTAGCGTTTTCTGAAGTACAGCTGGTCGAGCTTGTTTGTGGTGGTATAACAGATGTTAATATTAGAATGGCATCTTTTAATAGTCGTGTCAATAGCACGTCGGAACTTATATCTCTTTTTACAACATACACGAAAAATCCCAGAAAACGACTATCTGATACAAATACTTTGCCTAATAATTTAGCTATTAAACGTCTTAAATCGGAAAATTCACACTCCTTCAGATCACCTATTTGTTATTTATGTAATAAAACGGGTCACGTCAGATCTCAATGTTTCAAAAACAGAAACAAAGGTATTGTAACCTCTGATTTATCTAACATTCAATGTTCTTTTTGTAAAAAGATTGGTCACGATGAATCGGTTTGTTACTTTAAAAAAAGAGATGCGACAAAAAATAATAACAGTATCAATTGTTCAACAAATAGTTATTTGTCGCTTACTGATGTGATAATCTGTGAGAAACCAATTAAAGCTTTAATAGATTCTGGTGCCAGTTGTAGTATACTAAAAAAATCTATTGCAAATAATTTTGGTCGTAGTTTGGAACCATATTCAACATTGTTGCAAGGAATAGGAAATGGGAAAATAAGCATCTTTTCAAAGATTAGTTTGCCTGTCAGAATTGGTAATGAAGATTTAGAAATAGAATTTTGTGTAGCCGACGATTCGGAATGCAATTATGACTGTTTAATAGGTAGAAATGCGATTCAAAATTCAGATATTGCCATCATACTAAATTCCAGTGGGTGTATGCTAAAACGAGTAAATCATACAGCACCAATTAATAATCCAGTACTTTTCAATGGTATGAATGATCATCTCGAGGAGTTGATGGAGTTAACAAGTCATCTTGATTTAAGTCTACGACAAAAAATTAAAAATATTTTTGATAAATTTCCGGAAGTACTGCCAAATTCAAACTATATTAGTACAGTTAAAACTGCCGAGATGACGATTAAGTTAAAAGGAGATGACATAGTTTATTATAGACCATATCGATTAGCAGTTACAGAAAAAGAAAAAGTTCAGGAAATAATTTCAGATTTACTTAAAAAGAATATAATTAGAGAAAGTCAAAGTCCATTTGCCAGCCCAGTCATTTTAGTAAAGAAAAAAGATGGCAGCGATCGTCTATGTATTGATTATAGGGCTCTTAACAAAATTATTGAAAAAGATAGGTACCCATTCCCATTAATTGAAGATCAAATTGATAAATTAGGAGCAGCAAAATACTTTATTACAATCGATATGAAAAATGGCTTCCATCAGATCCCTATTAAGGATGAATGTATTAAATATACTGCTTTTGTTACCCCTGATGGACACTTTGAATTTCTCAAAATGCCTTTTGGTATCTGTAATGGGCCTTCTGTTTTTCAGCGGGCTATTAATAAGGCAGTTAATCATTTAAAATTTTTGTTAGTGTATATCGATGACTTGCTAATCCCATTTTCAGAAATAGAACAAGGCTTACAATATCTTGAACGAACCATTGAGGCTCTATGTTTGTCAGGATTTACAATTAATTTAAAAAAATGTAAATTTTTCGTTCAAGAAATAGACTATTTAGGTAGACATATTTCTAGCGACGGTGTTAGGCCAAGCAACGATAAAGTTAAAGCTTTGACGGGTTCTCCAGTACCAAGTACTGTAAAGGAAGTCCGTCAGTTCATGGGCCTGGCAAGCTATTTTAGAAAATTCATTCCCGAATTTGCATCTCGTACGGCTTCTATCACTAATCTCACTAAGAAAAATCAAAAATGGCAATGGGGTCCTGAACAGGATGCAGCTCGAGAGTACATTATAAACCATTTAACTTCCAAACCACTTTTAAACATATTTGACCCAAGCTTAAAAACTGAATTACACACAGATGCCAGTAGTCTTGGCTACGGTGCCATACTTTTACAAAAAAAGGATAACCAATGTCGTGTAATAGCATATTTTAGTAAACGTACGTCTCCAGCTGAATCTAGATACCCCTCGTATGAACTTGAAACTTTGGCCATTTTTAATGCTCTTAAACAATTTCGGATTTACTTACTAGGTATAACTTTTACAATTATTACAGATTGTAATTCCATCAAGGCAACCATGAATAAAAAAGATATTTCTCCTCGCGTGGCAAGGTGGTGGACATATATGCAAGATTTCACGTTTGACATTGTGTATAAAAAGGGTAAATTTGTTACTCACGTAGATTATCTCAGTCGTAATGCAGTAAGTACATCCATAGAGTCATCTAAAGAAATTAATGTCATTAATGAATCAAATGCTCCACCATCTTGGTTACACTCGGCACAAAATAACGACCCTGAGACACAAAGTCTTTTAGAAAAAGTTAGGACCGGTGATATTGATGGAAATCGATACAAAATCGTGAATGATTTACTGCTTTATAAAAACGAGAACGGAGATATTCCAAAATTTTTTATACCAAAAGGCTATCGCCTTAGTTTATTACGGTTGTTTCATGATCAAAATAGTCACGTTGGTTACGATAAAACCCTAAACAAAATATCCGAAAACTTTTGGTTTCCTAATCTTGCTGCCTTTACAAAAAAATATATAGAACATTGTTTAGTGTGTGTAGAAGGTAAAAGTCACTCAGGGCCAAAACAAGGCTTTCTTCATCCTTTAAAAAAAAACATACCATTTCACACGTTACATTTAGATTGCACAGGACCCTTTAAGGTATCATCAGAAGGCTACAAACACCTTTTGATAATAGTAGATGGCTTCACCAAATATTGTATACTAAAACCACTTAAGACTCTAAACGGTCAAGAATTAGTTCCGATCTTGCGAGAAAACTTAACTTTATTCGGTACACCCACCTTGATAATAACTGACAGAGGCACAAATTTTACTTCTGATCATGTAAAACTATTACTTAGAGAAATGCAAATAGAACACCATATGATAGCCACAGGTACGCCTAGAAGTAATGGTCAAGCTGAAAAATATATTGGTACTATAATTAATATGTTAACCACTACTGTTACCGATTCTTCAGAATGGCCAAGCGTATTGTGGAAAATACAACAATCGCTGAATACTACGATACAAAAATCAACTGGTTTTGCACCAACAAGATTGTTAATTGGTTGTGATGGAAATATACCTTCTGTACAGGCTCGTTTAGATGAAATACAATGTAGAGATTCTATTCAAGATATTGATGTTGAAACTGATAGGGTCTTGGCTAGACAACGCCTTAAAGGGGCTGCAGAAAAGTACAAAAAACGATTTGATAGTACTCGTAGGAATAATATAATTTTCAATATAGGTGATATAGTTTATGTAAATCAAGCCCATAGAAGACATGATAAGTTAAGCCCTAAATTCAAAGGCCCTTATAAAATAATTAACCTTTTAGAACATGATAGAGTTTATTTAAAAGGTCTTAATACGTTAAGAAATATTACTGTGGCTAAAGAAAAATTAAGGCTATGGCCGGGAGAGTGGATTGAACAGAATTGTTCTTTTGAAGAGTCCCTACTATTATAATATGATTAACCATGATAGATTAACATAACGTTAGTATCTTACCATGTGTTATACAATTATTGTTTTTATCGTATTATTATTCTCTTTCCTTAATTGCCTTTATATAAAAATGTAATATAACATCAGCGATCTTTCTGGTAGTGATTAATAAATTACACATTAAACATTTAACATAAAAATATTTTGTGAATTGATTAAATGAATATAAGTTTATAACAAAACAGCTTTATTTTTTATTACTGTTGGTCGGTCACTGCCCTGATATCAGTCTGAAATTCATTCGCAACAGGTGATAGGACTGATATGTCAAGGCCAGAGGCTATTGTATGAATTGCTGTTCGAATTACACATTGAACAGTATTTTGTGAATTGATCAAATGAATATAAGTTTATCTTCTTTACTGCTGGTCGGTCACTGCCCTGATATCAGTCTGAAATTCATTCGCAGCAGGTGATAGGGCTGATATGTCAAGGCCAGAGGCTATTGTATGAATTGCTGTTCGAATTACACATTGAACAGTATTTTGTGAATTGATCAAATGAATATAAGTTTATCTTCTTTACTGCTGGTCGGTCACTGCCCTGATATCAGTCTGAAATTCATTCGCAACAGGTGATAGGACTGATATGTCAAGGCCAGAGGCTATTGTATGAATTGCTGTTCGAATTACACATTGAACAGTATTTTGTGAATTGATCAAATGAATATAAGTTTATCTTCTTTACTGCTGGTCGGTCACTGCCCTGATATCAGTCTGAAATTCATTCGCAGCAGGTGATAGGGCTGATATGTCAAGGCCAGAGGCTATTGTATGAATTGCTGTTCGAATTACACATTGAACAGTATTTTGTGAATTGATCAAATGAATATAAGTTTATCTTCTTTACTGCTGGTCGGTCACTGCCCTGATATCAGTCTGAAATTCATTCGCAACAGGTGATAGGACTGATATGTCAAGGCCAGAGGCTATTGTATGAATTGCTGTTCGAATTACACATTGAACACAGCAAAATACTTTATTACAATCGATATGAAAAATGGCTTCCATCAGATCCCTATTAAGGATGAATGTATTAAATATACTGCTTTTGTTACCCCTGATGGACACTTTGAATTTCTCAAAATGCCTTTTGGTATCTGTAATGGGCCTTCTGTTTTTCAGCGGGCTATTAATAAGGCAGTTAATCATTTAAAATTTTTGTTAGTGTATATCGATGACTTGCTAATCCCATTTTCAGAAATAGAACAAGGCTTACAATATCTTGAACGAACCATTGAGGCTCTATGTTTGTCAGGATTTACAATTAATTTAAAAAAATGTAAATTTTTCGTTCAAGAAATAGACTATTTAGGTAGACATATTTCTAGCGACGGTGTTAGGCCAAGCAACGATAAAGTTAAAGCTTTGACGGGTTCTCCAGTACCAAGTACTGTAAAGGAAGTCCGTCAGTTCATGGGCCTGGCAAGCTATTTTAGAAAATTCATTCCCGAATTTGCATCTCGTACGGCTTCTATCACTAATCTCACTAAGAAAAATCAAAAATGGCAATGGGGTCCTGAACAGGATGCAGCTCGAGAGTACATTATAAACCATTTAACTTCCAAACCACTTTTAAACATATTTGACCCAAGCTTAAAAACTGAATTACACACAGATGCCAGTAGTCTTGGCTACGGTGCCATACTTTTACAAAAAAAGGATAACCAATGTCGTGTAATAGCATATTTTAGTAAACGTACGTCTCCAGCTGAATCTAGATACCCCTCGTATGAACTTGAAACTTTGGCCATTTTTAATGCTCTTAAACAATTTCGGATTTACTTACTAGGTATAACTTTTACAATTATTACAGATTGTAATTCCATCAAGGCAACCATGAATAAAAAAGATATTTCTCCTCGCGTGGCAAGGTGGTGGACATATATGCAAGATTTCACGTTTGACATTGTGTATAAAAAGGGTAAATTTGTTACTCACGTAGATTATCTCAGTCGTAATGCAGTAAGTACATCCATAGAGTCATCTAAAGAAATTAATGTCATTAATGAATCAAATGCTCCACCATCTTGGTTACACTCGGCACAAAATAACGACCCTGAGACACAAAGTCTTTTAGAAAAAGTTAGGACCGGTGATATTGATGGAAATCGATACAAAATCGTGAATGATTTACTGCTTTATAAAAACGAGAACGGAGATATTCCAAAATTTTTTATACCAAAAGGCTATCGCCTTAGTTTATTACGGTTGTTTCATGATCAAAATAGTCACGTTGGTTACGATAAAACCCTAAACAAAATATCCGAAAACTTTTGGTTTCCTAATCTTGCTGCCTTTACAAAAAAATATATAGAACATTGTTTAGTGTGTGTAGAAGGTAAAAGTCACTCAGGGCCAAAACAAGGCTTTCTTCATCCTTTAAAAAAAAACATACCATTTCACACGTTACATTTAGATTGCACAGGACCCTTTAAGGTATCATCAGAAGGCTACAAACACCTTTTGATAATAGTAGATGGCTTCACCAAATATTGTATACTAAAACCACTTAAGACTCTAAACGGTCAAGAATTAGTTCCGATCTTGCGAGAAAACTTAACTTTATTCGGTACACCCACCTTGATAATAACTGACAGAGGCACAAATTTTACTTCTGATCATGTAAAACTATTACTTAGAGAAATGCAAATAGAACACCATATGATAGCCACAGGTACGCCTAGAAGTAATGGTCAAGCTGAAAAATATATTGGTACTATAATTAATATGTTAACCACTACTGTTACCGATTCTTCAGAATGGCCAAGCGTATTGTGGAAAATACAACAATCGCTGAATACTACGATACAAAAATCAACTGGTTTTGCACCAACAAGATTGTTAATTGGTTGTGATGGAAATATACCTTCTGTACAGGCTCGTTTAGATGAAATACAATGTAGAGATTCTATTCAAGATATTGATGTTGAAACTGATAGGGTCTTGGCTAGACAACGCCTTAAAGGGGCTGCAGAAAAGTACAAAAAACGATTTGATAGTACTCGTAGGAATAATATAATTTTCAATATAGGTGATATAGTTTATGTAAATCAAGCCCATAGAAGACATGATAAGTTAAGCCCTAAATTCAAAGGCCCTTATAAAATAATTAACCTTTTAGAACATGATAGAGTTTATTTAAAAGGTCTTAATACGTTAAGAAATATTACTGTGGCTAAAGAAAAATTAAGGCTATGGCCGGGAGAGTGGATTGAACAGAATTGTTCTTTTGAAGAGTCCCTACTATTATAATATGATTAACCATGATAGATTAACATAACGTTAGTATCTTACCATGTGTTATACAATTATTGTTTTTATCGTATTATTATTCTCTTTCCTTAATTGCCTTTATATAAAAATGTAATATAACATCAGCGATCTTTCTGGTAGTGATTAATAAATTACACATTAAACATTTAACATAAAAATATTTTGTGAATTGATTAAATGAATATAAGTTTATAACAAAACAGCTTTATTTTTTATTACTGTTGGTCGGTCACTGCCCTGATATCAGTCTGAAATTCATTCGCAACAGGTGATAGGACTGATATGTCAAGGCCAGAGGCTATTGTATGAATTGCTGTTCGAATTACACATTGAACAGTATTTTGTGAATTGATCAAATGAATATAAGTTTATCTTCTTTACTGCTGGTCGGTCACTGCCCTGATATCAGTCTGAAATTCATTCGCAGCAGGTGATAGGGCTGATATGTCAAGGCCAGAGGCTATTGTATGAATTGCTGTTCGAATTACACATTGAACAGTATTTTGTGAATTGATCAAATGAATATAAGTTTATCTTCTTTACTGCTGGTCGGTCACTGCCCTGATATCAGTCTGAAATTCATTCGCAACAGGTGATAGGACTGATATGTCAAGGCCAGAGGCTATTGTATGAATTGCTGTTCGAATTACACATTGAACAGTATTTTGTGAATTGATCAAATGAATATAAGTTTATCTTCTTTACTGCTGGTCGGTCACTGCCCTGATATCAGTCTGAAATTCATTCGCAGCAGGTGATAGGGCTGATATGTCAAGGCCAGAGGCTATTGTATGAATTGCTGTTCGAATTACACATTGAACAGTATTTTGTGAATTGATCAAATGAATATAAGTTTATCTTCTTTACTGCTGGTCGGTCACTGCCCTGATATCAGTCTGAAATTCATTCGCAACAGGTGATAGGACTGATATGTCAAGGCCAGAGGCTATTGTATGAATTGCTGTTCGAATTACACATTGAACAGTATTTTGTGAATTGATCAAATGAATATAAGTTTATCTTCTTTACTGCTGGTCGGTCACTGCCCTGATATCAGTCTGAAATTCATTCGCAACAGGTGATAGGACTGATATGTCAAGGCCAGAGGCTATTGTATGAATTGCTGTTCGAATTACACATTGAACAGTATTTTGTGAATTGATCAAATGAATATAAGTTTATCTTCTTTACTGCTGGTCGGTCACTGCCCTGATATCAGTCTGAAATTCATTCGCAGCAGGTGATAGGGCTGATATGTCAAGGCCAGAGGCTATTGTATGAATTGCTGTTCGAATTACACATTGAACAGTATTTTGTGAATTGATCAAATGAATATAAGTTTATCTTCTTTACTGCTGGTCGGTCACTGCCCTGATATCAGCCTGAAATTCATTCGCAGCAGGTGATAGGGCTGATATGTCAAGGCCAGAGGCTATTTATTGTTTAACTGCTGGTCAGTCACTGCCCTGATGTCAGTCTGAAATTCATGCGCAGCAGGTGATAGGACTGATATGTCAAGGCCAGAGGCTATTGTATGAATTACTGTGCGAACACAGCCCCGATATTAGTTTGATGATTCAGGAGCAGCTAATGATAGAAATAATATGACAAGGTCAGAGACTTGTTTTTTTATGAATATAAAAATGCGATTTGATGGTACTTCGAGAGCGAAGTACTAATCAGTCTGGCCGTGATAGATTATCCTGATAATTTAAGTTCTTTTGTTACACTAAGTTATGTTTTAATCTTAACTTGTCTCAATCTCAAGTTATTGATATCGTCATATCTATATAGTCACACAATTTGTATGTAGAAAATTGTATTTGTCTCTAAAGTCATACAGATATTCTATAAATATTACAAAATTGTATTAAGACAAATGTAAATGTAACCGTTTAATTATTATAACTATATAACAACTTATTAACATGTGAAACCGAATTAGTACATTATAAATACAATGTCCAGTTTAAGACATACAATTATAACTCATTTTGAATCATGTATTTTATGTAAAACTTTTCTTTATAAATAAAACGAATTAGTTACTAACAAAACGATTGTTCAACTAAATTTATAATTTAACTATTTAATTTTTGTATAAATGTATTATGTTAGTTTTACGTTGAAATGACGCAACATCAATATGGAATTGCATCATCCGATATGACATCACCGGGCCCATATAATGGCGCCCCAGGCCCCAGCATTCCCTGACACTCGCCCCCGCGAAGCCACAGCGGACGGACTTAAATTCAGGAAACCCCTATTTTCAGAAGCGAGACGCCATACCAGACGGACTTAAGTTAAGTGAGCCCTAGCTTGTCTTTAGTTTATGTGTCTATTGTTATTTTCGCAATAGTAAAAGAAAGTGTATATTTGTTTGACACTTATTGTATATAAATTAAAGCAATAGTGTTTCAACCATATTCATGTCTTCTTATTTATGTGTCAGTTTACAATTTTTAATTAAAAGAGTTTTATATACAAATTATATAATTATATATATAAACGATTAACTACATTTTTAATATTAAAGTTTTTATTAATCTTTTACACTCATAGGCAATCATTGTGCATAAATACTAAACACTGCTCGTTACCAAAATAGTCTTATTTACTTCAAATGCTATTAATATCAAATCTTGTTTTAATCGAAATGTGTTTGCAAAGAGATTTATTTAAAAAACATTTTTTAATGATTATTCTTGTTCGGTTTCGCTTGAGCCGTTCGGCCCATCTCTAGAGCTCTACGCTTACCATAACGGCTCGCTACGTTGATTGGACGGTTTCTATAGTAAATGAGTTGGACAAGCTGCGCCAACCTTCATCAAACCCCTGAGACGTAATTAAGACGTGATTTTTCATAGACCCAGCATTCCTTTGGGACGACCTGCTAATGTGTTACGTTGAGAAAATATCGAATGGATTTTTCCTACGTGGATGTATTTTGTAGTAAAATGTTGTGTGTACTGGCAACTTGTTTCGCATTTGTTGCTGCTTATCAGGGTATATAATTCATATATTTTTGTAGTTTCATAACCTCGAAATAGTAACAATGTCTGCAATGGATGTGATTACTCTTTCCCCGGAATGGGGTATGGGACATATTTTCTGTCTGTTTCACCGATAGTTTTTTGTACATCAGTATTTGATCAGACAATACTCCTTAATGTCTATCTAGATTCTAGTTATTGCATTCCCCCAGTTTCGAATGCATGCCAGAATCATTAAAGCATGAAGGTATCATATACTCGACGACATCTTAGCTTAGTTAGCTAAAATATATGTGCAATTTAGAGCGTTTTTTGCGCCATAGTGAGCCATAAATAGCTCAAATCTACAAAATCGACTTGTGCGTTAGCTGTTATATTAGTTTGAACCTTTTGAGCTACATCTTCTTACAAAAATCATAAACCAAAGTCGTTGCAAATTTGATTTTTAATAATAAATTCCAGGTCTTACTCGACTGGACGATACAATAACTTACAAATTGTCATTTTCTAATTGGTATAGTGCAAGGAATACTACAATATCTAATTCTTTCAGACAGTTCTCTGGAGAAGAAGTCCGTAGCGCTTGTTAAAAGTTTAAGAAAGAAATTGACAGAGAACAACTACGACTATTCATCGTATGAAACTAAAAGGATCATATACAAACGCGCCGAATCCAGGGAAAATGTTAGCTCGACAGAAACTGACAGCAAATACCGGGTAATTCATTTATTTGAAACACAACATCAAACAAACACATCTCATTACACTAGATTAATTAAAAAATGTTTGTTTAAGATCTGTTTAAGAGGAAAATAAGCACTTTCAACCGCGTCTTTCTTCGTATTGAGTCGTATTTTCGATTCTTACTAAGTCTAACATGTTTCATTAATCAATTAATAGGTTAAATACTGTCTATAGTTTACGCGAGTAGTACACATTTAAATAAAACACTTTAACGGTTTAAAACGCGATATATTAGTTAAACTTATTTGAGAATGATTTTTAACTTCGGCCCGACGTTTCTATATAACTAATAAATATATAATAAGTTTAACTAATATATCGCGTTTTAAACCGTTAAAGTGTTTTATTTAAATTAATAGGTTAACTTAATAATTGTAGAATAATAATTTTTTTTTTTTTTTTTTAATAAAACAAAATATTTTTTTTTTTTATTGAAGGGTCGTAGGCATATCGAACTTTCGTTCGATTTATGAAACACCGTCGACAGTTATTATATTCGTAAAGTATAATCATGAGTAGGTTTTGTTAGTCTTTATCTGAATTTACAGCACATCTTATTCATATGTGGGCGAGAATAGTTTACTTTCCTTCAACTGAACCACGTGTTTATCTATCTTATATAACTTTCTTTTTCATCATATAGTTACACTATAACGTTATTATTGTATTCCACATTATATATTATTATCATAATGCAATGTTGTTTGAATAAAACAATAAATAAATAAACATTTTTTTATGTTCAAAAGTAAAAAACATAGTTTTGTCTAAATTATGTTTTTTTACTTTTGGTATATATAACACTTGATTCCAAGTGTTATATATACCTTTATATGTTATATATACCATTAATAGTATTGGTTTTCACTAACATTCTAGGAAAACTCCTTACATCCGGAAAATACATCTTCTTATTCAGTCGCAGAACGTGATGCTCACGAAATCTCCAAGAACGATCTACTGTACTACATAGATGACCGACACCTGACTGAACCTGAGCAAAATACTGTTAGATATAAGATTTTAAAGGTAAGAGAGATATAATATTGTTATATGTCATAGCACATGTTAGACGTTATAATCGTTATATTACAAAACATTAACGGAACTTCAGTTACGTACCTAACGGTTAAAAATTTACAGTCTACAGTCAACTGCGCCATTTTTACATTTACATATCTATACTAAATGTTAGAGTAATATTTCAACAATCACTAACTAGATAAGTAGTTTGTGATGAATTAAATATACAAATATTGAGGACCTTAACTGAAATAGGCTTTATTTACGAGGTTATGGGTGTTTTAAGAAAAAAGGCAAAAAATATGTGACGCAAATAGTTGACTAAAAACAAAACATAAATTGTCTTATAAAATAATGAGGAATTTTGATTTAGTTAATAGAAATGGTTTGATAAATATTTTGTAATTTTGAAGTCGATGCTAAGTAAAACAAACTAGTCAAATTGCGATGTGTCCGAGGGACCTTTGCAAAAAGCGAATATATTAAATACTGTCTATTGTTTACGCGAGTAGTACACATTTAAATAAAACACTTTGAACGGTTTAAAACGCGGTCACGGGGAGAAATCATTTGACACAATGTTTCTGCACAGAAGCATCCGATAAACGTCGGACCGATTTAGTTAAAAATTATTTTCAAATCAGTTTAACTAATATATAGCGTTTTAAACCGTTCAAAGTGTTTTATTTAAAAGCGAATATATTGTTAAAACTAGACTTAACTACTAGATGGTCGATGTTAGACTGAATATAATTCTCACAGTTCCACCATCCCAACTATGATTATTTATGTTTAATATTCTGAGAACTCTGAATGAAGAATGCTTAGCCAGCTCTTAAGTCTGGAGTGGTTACTGATATATCCTAAGTGTGGGATGATGTAACTTACTAGTATATATTGTTTACAAAGATACTTTGATTCTTGGTATTATTTTTACTTCGCAGGGAATTCGGTTAAAGATATATTACCATATTCTATTTTATGTAACGATGTTTTTAATTCTATTATTAACTTTAGGTTATATATACAAAAATCTAAAACGATAATTTCGTCATGTAACTAGTGTGTCTGTATTAATTTTAACTTTCTAGATGAAACACAAATCACGACGCATGGGGACTAACACACTAATCCAAGAAGAGAGCAAAAATGGCATAGCCATCTTGAATCTTGGAGGAGGACCTATCCCAGAGTTTAGACTACCGAAGTCACGGCGTCAGTATATGCAAGACCATGGTAGGCTTACAAGTGTGGAAGATGAGTTACCACCGCCAACCGCCATGAACAACAGTAACACATCAGCGATATACAAAAACCCATATATGGTTGGTGCACAGGCACATATCAATAGGACTAAATTAGTTTGTTCAAAATCGAATACTGTCTGTAGTTTACGCGAGTAGTACACATTTAAATAAAACACTTTACCAAAAATTACTAGTCTGTTTTAAAACGCGATAAAAAATATAATAGTTAAACTTCATTAAAAAATATAGTAACTACGGCCCGACGTTTCGGTTGCTTTGCATCAGCCGTGGTCACGGGGAGACGGGTAAAATCATTTTCAAATAAGTTTAACTAGTATATATTGCGTTTTAAACCGTTAAAGTGTTTTAATTAAATGTGCACTAGCAATGAATAAATTATTAGTATTAACGTATTTCTTTTTAATAAATAAATTCTCGTAAATATTTAATCGTGCTTACATTCATGTATCAATATAATTAGTTAAGTTTAATAGGTATAAAGTCATTTAGAGAATACGTCTACAGTGATATTTGTTGAAAACAAAGTGGCAATTAAACAAAAAATTTAATTTGTCTCTAACTAAGGAGGACATACACTTGATGGAAGGGGATATAGCCCAGCAATATAATATCTTAACAAAATGCGTTGTCCATCTATGTTGGTTCCGATATACGTGTAATGTGCTTCACATCGATCGACTGTACTTCTCGATCGATCTATATTTTCCCACACAGAGTCCAAATAGTTTTGGAATAAATTTCTTAACAAATATCGGACCCGGGCGGGATTAGACCCACACCCTACAATGTGTAAATCATAAATCATCGACGGAGTTTGTTACCTTGGAATATTCTTAAAAGTTCTTCTAACATAGTGTGAAAACGCCTTTACTGCTTCAAGAATACATATATACATATATTTTTCTTATTAAAAACTGCTTCAAGAATACATATATACATATATTTTCTTATTAATACAAAAGTTAAAGTGTCTATAGCATAAATATGGGAAAATTCTTTCAAATCATAACCACACATACTTTAACTGTTCCCAATTTTCCCACTTATTTTAAGAAGGTATTTTTAGTGTAAAAACGTGGGTACTCTATCTTCAGCAGCAGAGTCCGGATTATGCAGTTTACTTTGCGAAAGTATAAATAAATACCAGCAAGGTGTGAATGTGGCGACCTGATAAATTCAGCAATAAATATATTGTGCACCGGAACAGTTGGGCAATGTTTATTGTTTAGTGGATATTGTGAAACTAGACCGTCGCTATACATCAAGCTTTAACTCGTAAATATACAATTCACTTTTGATTTAAACATTCAGTTATTAAATTCAGAAATAAAATGCGATTTATTTTCATCCTATTGTTGTTATCGACTGTTATCATCCACGAAGCGGCGGCTGCTCCCAAGGGCTCGGCAAACGAAGGTTTGCTCTTAGATTTCTAAAGTTATTATCTACAGGGATTAAAATATAACGTTGATGGATCGTATTTCCGTTTCGCTTTTTACATTTCAGATAAAACAGACTTCTTAGACGTTATTAAATCAAATCTCAGAAGAAACAATGACGACTACACTGACGCTCCAATCTATGAAACAAAATCTTCAAGTATGTTCCTGTCAACCGTTCCTACTTTAAAGAAGATATACAATGTTAAAGGCGTCAGAAGAGCAAATGTTAATGCGCTTGAAAGCGAAGATATAGACGAGAAGCTCTTTTATGAACTACAAAGGAAAGCAATGATAAACAACACAAGTGCCACACCGAAAAACATTATGAAAGACGCCAAAATTACACCGATTATTGTTGATCTGAAAGTAAACAAACTTTCTATACCAAGCCAGCCGCAGATAACAACGAAAATGCGAACATTTACAATAACACAAAATAGAAGTAAGATAGAGAAATTTCAAATGTTCTTCGAAAAGAATAAAGCGCTCTTTAAAGAGTTCTTAAGCAGCAAGATAGCAGCACGAAAGCAAATAGGCAGGCAAAACAAGGTGACTGGAAGACTTCTGATTAAAGGCAAGAAAATGAGACCGTGGAAAAATGTTAATAGAGCACAGAATGGCGGATGGCTGGATGATGCTAGCGGAAGTACAGTAGCGCCACAATTGGATCCTGATAGACTGGACATGTTGCCAGCTATAGGGGGGAGGATTCACTATAGAAGAATAAAGGTGAGTATTATTCTTCCTTAATACGCAGAGCTTACAGATGATAACAACGCAACGAGAACTATAAGAGAAGCAAACATTACTATCACAAGCAGAAGGAAAACCAGACAGAACAATCTTACTGGTTTAAATTCATATTTTTTTAGTATAGAGGAGGACAGCCAAGCAAGACGTTTACTTGATAGTAGGTCTGCCCAGCTATATAACATCTATACAAGATGTGCTGTCGATCTACTTTGGCTTTGGACATTTGGAATTCCACAGACTGAAACCAAAACGCGATTAAACTTCACATTTTTTTTTATCTGTGGACGTCATACAATTTCAAAGTGTAGTCCAAAATGAACTGCTCTTTTGCTTTGTTTTTAATTTTAATATTAGGTACATCGAAAAATTAATTTATTATATGGTATTATTGACAGAATTAGAAACTATAAATTAATTAATTATGTTATGTTTATAATTCACGCAAGAAGTACACGTTTAAATAAAACGCTTTCAACGGCTCTAAACGCGAAATATATTAGGGAACTTATGTTTAATTTATTTTGCCTATGGGCCGACGTTTCGATGGATTGATTTTAACGGGATGTAGTTAAATATAATATTTCGCGTTTAAAACTGTTAAGTGTTTTATTTTAAGGTAACGTCAAATGTGGCCTATTAAAGAGGCCTTACTTTAGTACTTTCTTAAGTATGAAGTTACGGTCTTCATCAATGTCAATACTTTTAGGGTCGCTTGTGCCATCGTCACGTGCTGATACCAGAAGGTCCAAAATATGATAGCAAAGGTCGAATTTACCTGCCTGCGCACGCGGATAAGGTACGTCGACCCTACAATGTGACCCGACGACACAAACTTGTCCTACCCAAATGCTGTAATTGCTGTAAAAAGTCAGTACTTGGATGTGAATAGACAGTAAAACTATGAAATAAAATCCATTTAAAATTATAATGTATTATATTTTAATAAGGTTAAAGATTCAATTCCGTTGATAGATCTGTTAAACAATAACAAAAGGTCCCCTGGAAATATTGTATTTATTACTTCATATTATTGCAGATTAAATAGTATTTTAAAATGATGGTTACACTTTTAATAAACCACTTAAACGGTTTAAAATGCTAAAAATAAAATAACTAGGACTACTATAATACGATGACCACGACTGTTGCAAAGCAAAACGTCGGCCCATAGTTAAAAATAATCTAGAAACAAATTTAACTTAACGCGTTTTAAACCGTTAAAGTTTTATGTAAATGTGTACTACTCGCGTAAACTACAGACACTTACTTAACAGAGCTCACATACATCTTCATCCTGGAAAATACTATGCTTAAGTAACATTAAATGTTTTAATTGGTCCTATTAATGTAAGAATTATGTTAACAATTTTCCCTCACTGTGTCCTTGTAGGTTAACATGTTTAGACTATTAAAATATAACTCATAAATTAGCGATTAGGCTACTCTGAACCTAGCGGCCTAATTTATGTTAAATGTAATGTCTTAAAATATTTACGAGTCAGTAAGATTTCCGTTAACAATAAGCCAGTCTAAGGGCTTTGGTGGATCTCGCTTCAATTGTTTATTTCCCCAGCGACGCACCGGTATGGTAAAAATGGGGCTGTCAAAATTTGAAGACTGATCGCGTCGGTCGCTGGCATTTTGCGAGAATACTCCTCCATATTGAATCTAAAAATACGCGGACGTACATATTTAGATGTAGCTAAGATATATCTATAGTAATATGTAAAGCTGAAGAGTTTGTTTGTTTGAACGCGATAATCTCAGGAACTAAATTCTTCTACGGAATTCTTCGAATTAAAAAAATCTTTTTTGCCTTTGATATCGAGAATGGCTTTAGGCTATAAAAAATTTGTGGCTTTCCAATACTACAGTGTGCGTACACTGCGAATCAAGTAACCAAAAAATGTTTGAAAGAATAATTCCTCTGTTAATGATCTAAAAATATTCGCAACACTCTATGAGGCCGCTATAGGCAGAGGAGAATAACAGTAATTTTTTTGAATGTTAATCTACCAGATGATAGTGACCGACAATTGTCAACATAATTTTTCCATAAATAATAGTTCAATTCATTTTCGTCTAAGTTAATTGCGCATTTTTATTTTCCTTCGTATTAAAATGTTTCAACTAACACAAAACGAATTTTTCAATTCGAACCAGTAGTTCGCGAGATGAGCGCGTTCAAACAAACTTCAACTTTAAAATATTTGCACAGATTTATTGATAACTTCTACTAATAATTGTAAATATTGTTTATAACACAAATATGAAAATTTTACTCTTACCGCGATTAAAAAGAATATGGTAAATGGGACTATGGTATGAAGCATAATAGACAAAAGTGATAAGCTACGATCAGTAATAATTTTCTTCAACTGCGGAAAAATGGATTCGTTTCACTAGAATAAAAAAAATGTTTTATGATCTTAGTTTAAGGTTTCGTCTCGAAGATTAATTTACAAAATTATTAGTTCCAATAATTCATGCATTTCTATTAAAATTGAAGAGTCCTTACGCAAGGAGTACACATTCAAATGAAAAAATTAAAACAATTTTAAACGCGAAATTTATAATTATATACTTGGAGAATCTAGCAAATACCAATTAAGACGATACAGATGGCGCTAGCGTAGCAGCATTGACGTTGACATTAGGGAGCACCATCTTCAACCATCTTGTGACCACGGCTGCTGCAAAGCATCCTAAACGTCAGGCCATAGTTAAAATAAATCAAATATAACTAATATATTTAGATATTAAACCGTTTAGTGTTTTATTTAAAAGTAGCTGAGTCAGCGACTTCGTACGCGTAGAATAATTATTTTAGATATCAATTTTTGTTTGTGCAAACAATTGTTTGAAATCCTTATTACAAAACGAAGCTTAACGTTTGTACTGGACTAACTATGATAACTTAAATTCATTTAGATTATGGCTTAAGAGTTAAACCAAGACTACGCAGTTCTGGTTCACGTATTTTTTTGTAATAAGGCCGATAGAGTCACCGACTTTATTAGATCATTCAAAGATGAATCATTCCTTCATACATATTTTTTGGGTATCTTGAACCGTTTTTGCAGCGTACGCCTCGGAAACCCATAACCACATTTCCCGCTGTATCTTCGCTCGTATTAGTCACAGGCCCCTCGGGGCACCCTTGGTGGTAGCCGCAAACACAGCGAGCTCGTCCAAACGCCCGGTTAGTATTCGAGGTCCCGTTGGAACTCAATACGTAAGTCATTCCAAAAAAAAATAGTCACAGGGCAATGTTTCCAGTCTATAGCTTTCCTCGATAAATGTTCTTACTTTCACAAAAATAATTTTTCAATTCGAACCAGTAGTTCCTGATATTAGCGCGTTCAAACAAACAAACTCTTCAGCTTTATATATTAGTATAGATTGAAAAGATTGATTTTAAAACGATTACAACAATAAGATATTGTTTTTACCAATATGTTATTGCTAGTATCTATTTGAATAGTTTTATCTTCATTTGAATAAGAAAAAAAAAAGATACATAATCGTAATATTTTTATTTCCTACTACAGCATATCAACCGTACAGCTAAGTTATATAAAATTGTATCTCAATCACTATATAGCAGAGTTGGACATTCAACAATTGATTTAAACAATATATGCAACTGGTTTCCTAAAAAAATACCAATGAAAACTTGCCTTTTGTTTCTAGATAACAAGTTTTAATAATAAATTAATTGCCAATCGTTTACTTTACCTTCTAGTAAACGCGTAGTCATTTGTTTTGGTAGCGGTCGCGCGAGGCCAAAAAGACCTATAGTTAGGAGTTATAAGGAGAAATAAAGCAAATATTCAAAAATTCCTTATTTTATCCCAGAATCCAATCCTATCCAATCAGTCAATTCAATCCTACTTTAAAATATTAGTTTTTGCGTGAAATCCCGTTTCCCCTACGTGGGCATGGGGCGAACACATTTTTGTGTCCGTTTCACTGATCCGTTCTTTAACAGGCGAGTAGTTGATCAGACTTCTGTGCCCTGCCCGACCGAAACAATTTTTGATTCCCTGGGATTCGAACCCAGGACCTCTCGCGCTAACGTAATGCAATACGTTTAACCACTTGGCTACAGAGGCGGTCGCGGATTAGTTTTTTAATCGCCATGGGAATGAGGAATATAAATTATATGGGAATAATTTTTATAAGCTGTTAGTCACTAAGGATGTGACAGACGTTCGTCGAGAATTATTATTTAAGAGAATTATACTATAAACAAAAGTGCACCGTTTGTGGTCGATTAGACGTCGCGCGCCCGCTTGAAGGTTGTGAATTACCAATATAAGTATTTCATTCAGGTAACAAATTTAATTTTAAATACTGTCTTTTTTTAAATTTTTATTTAACAGACTTAAAGCTTAAAACGCGAAATATATTAGTTCAATTTATTTGAAAATTGTCTCCCCGCGACCATGGCTGCTGCATAGCAACCGACACGACGTGCCAACGTATATATTTCGCGTTTTACACCGTTTTAATTTTTTTTCCGCAAAATAAGCCCAACACTGTTGCAGAAAAGTTTCTCACTCGTACCTCTCACACGCCGCTTACACACTTAAATTAATGTACAAGATATATAAAACGTTCAACTTCTGGTTTATTACTCAACAACATCCAAGGAAAAGTTTGTGTACAAGACTTCTAGTGGTCTACACACCAAATTTTATAATACCAGCTTTTATTTAAACATCTTACTTTGCCTAGTTTGACAGTAAACGGAGATGATACGACATTGAAACAACTCAACAAAGTGGGTAGTTATGTTGGTGTGGGTGGGTAGTTCCATTGTTGAGGGTAGTTCAACGATAAAATTTAGGGATAATAATTTGAAGAGACAGTACAAAGCGTAACGGAACTGGGTTGCCGATTTAACAGTCGAGATATCTTTAGTTGTCTGTATATCAATATGCGTAGGGCAAATGTATGTATTTCACTTATGTAGACCCGCGCGTTTCGCTTCTAGTTCATAGATGAGTAGTCTCCACATCTTAACGACAAATACTTCGGCTTCTTCATCTAGAACCTGTAAGCACAGATAATTATTACATTTCATTAAAAACACGCATTCTATTCTCAGGTATTTCTACCATAGTTGCGAACTTATTTGAGCAAATTTGTATCTAAACTTTTACACAGGTATATTTATAACCGAATAGTACAAGTCCCTTAAATTGATATGATAAATTTGCCAATGGAAAGATCGATATACATTGTTGTCCATATTATTGGTTTTCGGGCTGTTCGGTTGACGTGAACGAGAAGAGGTTCTCGACGTTTCGCCATCACGGCATTATCAGGACATAATATTAATAATTCTTCGAGCAATCGAGGAGCTAACCTCCCCTGATGATGTCGGACGCTCATGATGGCAATTTACATTGTTACTGTTTTATTTGACACCACAACTTCAAAATTACACAAACGTTACATACCTATTCGTCGTTTATCAAACTTCACAAACTTTGTGCTAAGTCCTTTTTTTAATTAACTATTTGAAGTTGGTTATGTTTGTAAAAAAATATTCTACTATTTTTTAATAACTGTAATGATAACGTACTTTCTTTACTCATTATACATGTTTATTACTCTCATTATTTTGAAAAATTATGAATGTAGTGTTGTTTTTTCTTATGACAGTTGAGCAATTATGTGTGAAAAATACATACCATCTGCACATCATCGAGGATCGTGTGCGGCGCCGACCCAGCCAGCACTTTGCTGCAAATGAAGTCGACGAGCGTCGGCTCCGGTTCTCCTATATACTCTATGATCTTCTTATTTATCCACGGTCTTATCTTCTTCTCCATCAGCACAGCGTCAATCTGATCAGTGTCCAATTTGTACTGGAACAATGCTTCCTTCTGCGTCGGAATTTTATCGATCAAACTCTTCACTTGCGCACGTTTCTCTTCAGCGCTTTTGCTTTCCTTCTCGCTATCACCGGCCTTATCCGTTTTCTCACTCTCGCTGTTCGAGTGTTTGCGTTTTTCTCTATCTTTTTTGTCTTTGCCTGAAACATTATTTTGATGTTACTTGTCTATGGTTTGGGTATTAAAATCTGATGACAGAGCATAGTTTGACACTAAAACTACTCAAAGGAGGTAAATGAAATTAAAGGTTACGTAGATTATACGCTACTTTAATGCATAGGGAAGAAAAAATAAGATATATTCATAAATGTGTATACTCTAAATATTACTCAATTTATAGCAGGCGTTATTTTAACTGATAACACCTGCTATAAATTACCTGACTGATTTTCAGTAAAAATGTGGAAGACAGGCAACTACCAAAGCGACCTAAGCCATATCTCGCTGAAACTATTCAATAGTGGAGAAAGAGATTATTGCGGAAACATTTGAAATTCACACAGTTTTTACAGTTTATCCTTATATTATGTTTATTCTTACCGTGTCTATGTGCATGTGGATGATTGTGGTGGGTCTCAGTATGTGAGTCGTCATCCTCCGCGAAGGCCGCGTGGACCCGTCTTGACGTACCACCCGCTGTACTGCTCTCGGCTAAAAAATATAAAACGGACTAAAATAAGCATTTGAAAACTCATATATTTTTTAAATTTTGCACAAGATGGCATTATATATATTAAAAATAGATTTTAGATTGAAAAAACTGCAATTAAATTAGCCTGACCGTGTCGTTTTTTTTTTACCTTAAATCGTTCTTTAATTTAAAATAAGCGTGTACTGACTGTACAACTATACTAACAAACACATTTATATTCAAAATAGTACACTTCAAATACTGTTAGAAAAAAAAAAAATTAGAAAAAATAAAAAAAAAAAAGTTGGAGAGCTCGTTGGTCTAATCTAATGTTAGCCATGTATGGCTAATAATCAACGGCTAGTGGGTCCCCCACCAGGTCCAACATGTTTCTAATCGATATTAGATTTTTCTGAAGCAAAATCGACTTGGTCTCAAAATCTGGATTAAAATGGGCGGTAGTAATACCGGAATTCCATTATGATCAAGAACTACCGTCCGTAAATGAAAAGTATAATTGTGTTAGGTTTCAGTCTGTGGATTTCCGAATACGTAAAGCGAAAGTGAACTAACAGCGCATCTTCTTGAGATGTTATTATAAGGCTAGGGTATTCCACCTCTATCACAAAACTTGGAAACTACCCGAGTGGGTAATGAGGGTTATAGCCAATAAACCAGACTGAAATACATTTTTTTAACTTACCGTTAGGGGTGTGAGAAGCAGGTGTAAGTCCTGGCGACTTGTTTTTAAAACTTATAGATATGGGGGAGCTTCCTACAGAGCCGGCGCCGCTTATACTCTGAAAAGAGTTAAATATATAACAGTAGAATAATCAGTACGTAAGAAAAAAAATGTCTTTTTATTTATTTACTTACGTGTCTATGAGTTGGCGCTGGGGCCGTCATGGGCTCAGGAGACGGAGGTGTGCTTCCGCCATTTTGCTGTTAGATAGATATAAATTGAGGTTAATAAAATAAAAGTATTAAAATAAAAGATTAACGGTTTAAATCGCGATATATATTAGTTAGTTATTTGAAAATTATTTTAAGTGTTTCATATAAATGTGTTCTATTCGAGTTAACTACAGTTATCTGTAGTTTATGAGATGTAGACTTTTAAAAAAACGTCTGTAAAGGTTCAGTACGCGGTATTAGTTATTAGTACGCACAATTTCGTGTCTATGCCGGCGATGTCTATGCTTCCTATGGGTGTGTGTGTGGACTGGCTCCGGCGGCTCAGGCGTTTCCGGCGGCTGCGGCGGTGTGAGTGAACCTTCAGCGGACTCGACAGGAGAGTTGCCACCCGCCACCGAACCCACTGACCCAGCCTCGCCAACACCACCGCTGGAAAGTTATTTGGAGTGTTAAAACTAAACATATAAAACGTAATTATAAAGATATAGCATTTAAATTAATAAAACGAAATTCTTGTTACGAGACTAAAGACGAACAGTCCATAGACATTTTTAAGCAGATAGACAACACGACATATACAAAACAAGACAATAGACACTAGAACTAATATACAAGTTGACACTTATTATTTTGATAGAAATCGTCATAAATAAAACATCTTTCAACGGTTTAAAACGCGAAATGTCTTCGTTAAACGGATTGACAAATTAAGTACGGCCCGCAAAAGTATTTTATTTAAATAATTTATTTATAACAACTTATATTAGGTAACATATAGAGAGTACTTATTTGGTGTCTTATGTACACAAACCTCTTTTTGTAACGTCAGGAGATCGATTTCCTTTCAAAATCGCATGTTGAGAAAACTAACATGTTTCAAAATAAGAAATTTAATAGCTATTGTCATATGCCAAGACGCATTTGACCGGTAAATTGATGGCTTATATGATATAAAGACGAGACTTACTCGGAGTCAGAGTCGATGGGTTCTGCTTCTGTCGGCAGCTCGCGAGTCGCCTGCGCACGTAAATATCGCTCCCTTTCACGAGCCAAACGTTCTCTTGCCTGTAATATAAAATTGGTGTTGCTTGACACTTTCGAAAACATTTACAAGATAATGTTCGCCATATCTTTATTCATGGTAAAAAGGAAGCTTGACTTTGCAGAACTTGTTACAATTAAAAGCGCGGTATGTATATTATGTTAAACATAATAGTCATACAGTATACTGAGTCATGCTTAATTATATATTTATTAATTACTAAGTTTCCTGGCACATATAACAGATATCCTCACTATCAACGTGTCGATATGACGAATCAAAAATGTGTAGTATTATCTGTGTTTAATTTTTATTAAATGAACACTAACATTTATTGATGTTTTAAATTACCATACATGGCTAAGCTAACACTATCTTTACACTTATCTACATATTGGAATTATATTATAAGTTTAATATCCTAGCCTCAAAAAAAAAAAGAAAAAAAAAAAAAAAAAAATAAGAACGGGGGGGGGGGGGGAACGGGGAGGGTGGGCTTTCGGTGCTGTTGCTCAACAAATTGAGCTACCGAGTCTTGGTAGACAACACACAAACTTATCTACGAAACGGGGGAAGGCCCGGCCGGGGGGGAAAAATTAAAAGAAAAAGCCGTTCAATATTTGAGATTCTTTTTTTTAATATTTCAAATCAATCTCACCTCGATACGTGCCCGTTCCCGCTGCACAGCACGTTGCTTTTCACGCTCGCGTTGGAGGTCCTGGTGCAACGTAACATCCACAATGAGACGTGGCTTGTATTGCTCCTCTCGTTCTCCTACCGCCTGTGGGGTTTAAAAACTTTGGTATTTTGTACATACAGTATGCAATAAATGTGAGTTTTGATTATGATATTATTAAAAACAAACATAGTGTTTAACTTAAAACCGTTAAGCTTTTACAAATAAAATACAAAGATGACATAAAATATACACATCTACAGAGCTATCTGTTCCTAGGAGATATTTTGGAGTAAGTGTCAAAATGTAATAATATATATTTAAAAAAATAAGTATACTTATGAAAAATATCAAGTAATCATAATAGAACCTTCTCGAAAGCAGCATTAGCAGTTGAGTCGTCAGGTGGAGCTGCACCAAATATCTCAGCGCGCAACGCAACTAACTCCTCTTGTTCTCTCTGTCGCTCCCGTGCATCGCCCTCGGCCTCTCTCACTCGCGCCCCGAGACGACGCTGCAGTTCTTTACCTCTGTAATACGATAAATTGCATTTATTAATTATGGCGATAATTATTAAAATCATAAATTGTATTTAAATAAAATATTAACGGTTTAAGACGCAAATATTAACTTGTTAAAAAAATATTATTTTTCTTCAACTGCAAAGCATCCGAAACGTCGGGCCATGTATATTGACATCACAAGCATGTGACTTTGCTTGTCAGGTACTTTAATAGAAGCAGGCCGTATAAGTGCAACCTACCATACGAAGTTGTCATCCCCAAAAGACCGTATGGTCTATAATTGGTCAAATAATCATTGACCCAACTTACTTATAATATTTGTGATCATCTCTTTCATCGTCATAGTCCTCCAGAAATTGTTTAAGCCGCTTCGCTTCTCGCTCCCTCTCCTCCTCGCGGCATCGCTCCCTCTCTTTCTCGCGCTCATATTCCTTAGCTTTGCGACGCTCACGACTCTCCCAGTTACGCAATCTGTTTGTATAAAATATATTTTTAGACGTGTATTTATATTATATAGTGAAAGTCAAAAATCATTTATTCATGTAGGTAACTAGGTAGTACACTAATGAAGTCACACCAGTTAAAATTTAAAGACTAAATTCACATTTACTACTACTACCAGTTCTCAAATCAAGGGCTTAGAAAGAACGAGAAGAACTGCCAAGAAACTCGACGCTACTCCTTTTATCGCCAAGTTTAAGTTTTACAGTCTTCAATTTACAACATAATTTTCCTTGTTAGAGCGAGTATGGATGACCATGGCCCAAGCATTTTCATCGTTTAAATGTATTTAGTTATTCAAATTCAAACCATTTATTTTATTTGATAATTGACTTTATATAACTTACCGCTCTTGATAAGCGGCCTCTTTCCCGCGCGCCTTCTTCTCCAATCGCTTTTTATCTCTCGCCTCCTCTTCTATCTCTTTCTCTCTCCTGGAGTCCACCTCGTTACGCCCTCTATCTCTGTCACGGTCTCTATCTCTATCTCGTTCCCGGTCTCTCGAACGTTCACGTTCTCGTTCTCGCTCACGCTCGCGTTCCCGTTGTTCACTGTAATCACAGATACATTATCATAATAAAACAAGACAATTATGAACTTATATTAAGATTTATTTATGTTCTGTGTGCCCTACTTGTAATATTTTTATATCAATTAAAGATTACTTAATTTTAGAAGACAATCTACTATAAGAAGATACCATTTGGAAGACTGGTTTATTAAAAAGCATCTAACAGAACGATCACTGTCACCACATTTCGCAGTTTAATACTTGTCGGGTCATACTTAATCGGTCAATTGTATTTTATAATTAAACTTTAACCTATGCGATACAATAATAGTATCAAGCTACCCCCGCATACCTCATTAATTCCAAAAGTATGTTTATATGACAAATACTTGCTACCAAAAATACTTTACCGATTTCGTGAGCCGCGAAGATCTGCCTCAATCTCATAACGAGTACGGATATAGGGATGTATCGACAAAACAACTACACCACACATCGTCAAAACACTGTACGTTAATATTACTGACTGTCGCGAAACAATAATTATGAGAGTAGCTTCTCAGTTAACACCGGAACGAACACGCAGTAATGGCAAAAGTAATAATATCAATCGGTTTTAATTAAATTCCCATTCACAAATTAAGGGCGTGTCGAGATTTTCCTATGTACTTTGTAGCCAAGCGAGAGCTAACGAGTTTTTGATAAGCGTTTTTCATTTATTTCCTACAAACCGAATTGTGATTACGTTTTATTGGTTTCTTGATATTTACGACTTTGTACCGAATTATGAAAATCGTTATAGTCCTCTTTGAAAATTGGGTTACTTCTATAGTTTCTCATTTTTTATTATGTTGAGTCCGTATTTATATCAGATAATCGGGTGATAAAGACAATTAACACAGTCATACAAGACTATGAATAACATACAAATCCTATGTGTATGTAATCTATGGATGTAACTTGTGTCAATACATAAATATATAATATACGAAATAGATACATACCGTTCTCTATCCCGCTCGCGCTCTCGTTCTCTTTCTCGCTCCCGCTGTTCTCTTTCCCGTTCACGTTCGCGGACCTCCCTAAAAATATTTTATGAAATAAGTTTTTTTATAGTAATGCAAAAATGTCTGAATATACAACGTACAATCTACAATTATACCTTTCTCTTTCTCGCTCGCGCTCCTTCTCTCTCTCTCGTTCTCTTTCCCTTTCACGTTCACGTTCTCTCTCGCGTTCTTCTCGCTCGCGGTCTCGGTCTTTGCTCCTAAAAGAGAATATGTAGTTTATTAGAAAAGATAAATAAAAAAATATACATACATCATAAAAAACAGCGTAAACTACGCTCACAATCCGGATGGGAAGGTTGATTTAAAAATACACTTTTAGCAGACCTTGCCTCTATGACTGCTGCAAAGTACCCGAAACGTTAGATCGTTGTTATAATAATTAAAAAATGAGTTTGACTAAAATATCGCGTTTTAAACCGTTAAACCGCTTTATACTGTATATGTGTACTAGTCTGAAATGATTACCTGGACACACTTCTCTTTCTCCTATCCTTATCACGGTCTCGTTCTCTATCTCTGTCACGTTCTCGATCCCTCTCTCTATCCCTGTCTCGGTCCCGCTCGCGGTCACGATCTCTATCTCGCTCTCTGTCCTTGTCTTTCTCCTTCTCTCGCTCGGGCTTATCATCTTTGTCTCGCTTGCGACGCACCACCACATCGGCTTCCTCCTGCGCAACACACAAAAATATATCTTGCTCGCTCTAACGTAGCTCATCATAACAATCGCATATTTCACGTCCGTACTCGGTATACGATCTTATTTCTACACTCTCGCATTACATACTATAAATAGATAATGGAAAAATATATAGAGAATTAATAAAACAATTTTTTCGTCGGAAAATTGGGTGGCCTAAATTTCAGGTAGTGTTTGTGTAGTTTTTGAATGCTACTATGTTCTACCCTCAATTACTCAACACATAAGAACATAAATGTTTCGGATATCTAGATATAAACAGACGCCATATCACATACACACAAGCTCACATTCAATTTTGTAAGGTCTGTGGAGATCGTATACCGAGTGCCGGGTTAAATAAGACGACGGGGTAGTGGTCGCTAGTACGAAGTGTAAAATAAACTCACGTGTGTGTCGAGTGGCGGGTAGACCGGGTCGCGCGTAGTTCAACCTCAATGGCTACAATCAAATGAACGCACCGCTGTCGTCAGTCGATAACATTAGCTCTACCGCCTACTAGGTCAAACCTTTTACCAACCTAACGAACTAACAGCCACCGCTGCACTTACAAAGATGCGTTTACACAAGTTTATTCAAATCACTATATATTTTTAAAACATAAACTTATACAAACGTTTCCATTTTTTAAAGCACTGTAGCTTTAACTAGTAAACTTTAAGTTTTGTACAAGTGCAGCAGTCACGTGGCGACACGAAAAAAACCAACGACAGCGCCACCTGCGACGCAAGTGACCAACAATATACACAAACAAACTTCGCCTGGCAAACAAACAATTAGATTTTTTCCCAAATTCTTTGAAATCTAATTAAGAAGCTAATAGGTTGTTCACACAGGCTCGGTATCGCCATTCAAAGTCTCGCAGCCACTCAGCAGTCAGCCATTACGGAGTAATGCAACTTACACGGCCAGAGCCCTCTGGTGGAGCGTCGCGGAGGTGTCGACAAGGCGTGCGGCGAGTCGCTCCAGCGGAGTGTCTTCTCGGTTTAGGACCGCGCCGGGACAAGCTCTCGCCTAACCGAACTTACTGAGCGCAAGTTACGATATAAAACAATATTTAGAATGGAAAATTCTCGATCGACGGATGACATAAGGACTGATCTTAGATCCATTTATGCATTTAATTTGGCGAGAGCTGGTACAGCGGGCAGGTCGTGTGCTCACAACTCACGAATGCAAGCCCACGACCAGTGACTTTCACAGTTCATAATGATTTACTATGCAACTCTCGTTATCCGACAATTTAGGTTTCAACACTTGTATTGAAGTTTATCGACTAAAATACATCAATACGAACTGATCACAGTCAATATATCATTTAGAAGTACATATACCCATTTTTCTCATTGTATATAAGAACAAAGTATCAAATGAAGAGTTATATTTGAAATATAGACACTCTCAGTTTCTGATATCATATTGTATTGTAACATATAACTATGTTGACTATCAGAAAGAGAATGTTGTTGTGTGTAGTGTTAAGGATAGTATTACGTTTTAGCCCAGTAATTATAACATAAACACATATTAGTACTGTAAAGTTATTCGCACCTCACTGTCATCTTATATATTTTAATGTAAAAAGTTATTAAAACTTGAAATAATAACATTAATATTTACTTATCATAGATTTTATTATCAGCAGAGGCAAAATTTTTGTTTTATTAACTTGTAATAATGTAAGAACATATATAATATATAGTGGAATCTCAATAAATCAAGGCTAAGTCGAGTAAAGATGATTTTCCCTTCCCTTAAATATCTAATACTTGAATTAATAAATAGACTTTGTAACTGGACCAAAAAGATGTTTCTTTAAGAAAAAGTTAGTTTGCGGTCAAATATAACTTGCAATAAATTAATTAAAACTATAACTCGTCTTATCCTACATTATGAGTTTCTAGGTATCGAGATTACACTGTGCTATGTATAAATATACGAAATACCAAAAAAAAGATATTGACTGTGAGATGTGTGTTAAATCCAGCCCGGCTTACTAACATGAACGTATTCATATCGTCCTTTATATAAAGGATAAATCTATCGATATATTTACGTTCACGCTAGAGCGAGACAAACGATCTATCTTATCGACTCACCGCATAAAGACGACCACGACACGAAGACCGAGCAACACGCACACATCGCGAGACTACGATCCATTTGTGAATTCAATAAATCATTATATCAAACAAATATTATAAATACATCCTATTTTTATATATTTAACTTAAGTACAATAAAATATGCTAGGTCTCAAATGTTAAAAATTATATAATAGTAACTTAAGTAATGGGAAAAGCAATATTTAGGTACTGATCCGTACAAATAAATGTGCGAGTGTGCGTGTGCATACTGATGGGCTGGTAACGCACGCGCCTTCGTGCGAGACAAGGATATTAAGGTATAAGCGAGACGGAGCAACTCACCTTCATACTTTCGCGGAACTTGCCAATTTCCCGGTGGATGACGTCACGTTTCTCCTCCGAAATGTCCGCCTCTTCAAGAACACGCGCCGTCTTCGATATCTGCTCCTCTGAAATGGATAATAGTTTATATAAAACAATTTTAACGGTTAAATTAAGGAAATATAAGAGTAAACTTATTTTGCAAAGCATCAGAAGTTTCAGGTCATAGTTACAATTAATAAAAAATGTAAAAACAACTTTATTAATTACATGTGTGAGATACACGTACATAATTCAAGCAAACTAATATTAGTGCATAGCTACATTTTGTTTCTGTATAAACGAAAGGTATTGTAAAACCACAAAAGGTAGTTGAATTAATCGATTTTTTATTTATATTGTTTATTGCTGCTAATACTTAAAAAACTTAATAAAAATGGTGCTATAATTAATAAATAACATTCTTAAGATTGAAATTACACTGCACCAACAGCCTGTAGGCCATGGTAGCTCTATTGTTTATAGCAACAGAACTGAAACATTGTGGATGCAGGTGTTGTAAATTTATTTTCAATAATGGATTATTAATTTGTAGTATAGATTGTTTTTATTTAAAACAACCACAGTCTAGTTTTAAACAGAAGGGACTCACCCTTTTGTAGTATTTCATAGTTGTTAATTTCCTCTTGATAGTCCCGATAAATCTGTGCAATCTTCCTCTCCACAGTCTCGTCAACACCGCGTTGCTTAGCGTCCAAATACGACTCCCCCTCTCCCGCACTGCCTCCCCCTTCAGCTATACGTGTACGCTGTTCAGCTGATGATAACAATTTAACGTATTAAAAGACATAGTAAGAATTAGTGGGCTTTTATGAAGGCAGACTTCATGATCGCACAAGAGGAAAAGTTAGGATTAGTAAAGGGTTTGTATAAATAAAATAACTATCCCTGTTTTCCAACATTATTAGCTTCAGTTAAAAACTAAACTATAAGAGGCTATAGTCTTTAATTGAACTAAATATGATATACCCAAATTTTTATAAACTTGCTTAAATAAAAATCTTTTAACAGTTTAAAAATGGATTGACTTTGACAAAAGCATCGAAAATGTCGGACGTGGTGAAAATAAAAAAAATGTATACTAATATATTTTGCGTTTTAAACTGTTAAAAGTACTTTACTACTCGCGATAGCGACAGACAATACTTATAAACTCGCTTAACATCCAAAGCCAATAATAGGTCGATAGCACATCATGTCAAAATTGTGTATGGCTGGGGTATTTCACCTTCCACCAAGTGAACCTGACGCTTGTCTGTCTTTCTCTATCTTGAAAAAAATATTCAGTTAAGAAACTTGACCTACTTTTGTACGTATCGACGAGAGCCTGCATCTTGCCGTCGACGCGGGCAAGCAGATTTTTATCAGCAAGCGGACGATCGTGCAGCATTCGCACGCAACGCAAGGCGGCTTCGGGCCCCGCAAACTCGCAGAAACCAAATGTACTGACGCGTTTCCAGCTTGAAACGGTGCCGCATGCGCTGAGTAGAGCACGTATCATCGCGTCCGGAGCTCGAGACGAAATGTTTCCTAAAGCAAAACAATTAAAGTTAACAATATGCTTAATTATTGTAGATATATGCTTATATAATTTACGAACTTACTGACTAAGAGCTTTCAATGTCAAATTTAATATCATATCCCATTGCATCTATACCAAACACATATCTGTGTCTAAATTTAGTTGACATTTCCAAACATAGTTATTCTATGTTTCTTGGGACCATTGAGGTAGTCAATGTGAATTTTATATTTATGTGTGTCCAATATCAAGAATTCTAATATTTGAAACACAATTTGAAGAAAAGTCTGTTTTTAATTATCAGACGGTCTAAGTCTAATTTTTAATTCTTTACATGCATAAGTTGACTTTAAGGCTCATTCATTACTTACCTAAAATGTAGAACACAATCACTGCTTTTTTAATGATGTTTAAGCATGACAGCTTAAATTACAACATAACATGAAATTTACATATCAACAATATAAGTAACAAGGCAAGCTGTTTTCATCAGACACTTCCTATTGAGATGTGTTATTGTAGCAGTAGAAAGGAACTAACCAATAAAAACAGTAACAGCTGGTCCTTCATTTTGTGCACCATTCTGCGGACGAGCGGATCGCGAAACAGTTTTACCTGCGTTAGACGTGGGCGCTGGTAATAGCCCACTGCGACCACTCACCGAACCGGCTCCATAAGCGCCAACCATCACCTGAAAAATAATTTTAACAATTACCTATACAGTTACATGGCTTGGTCTTGTTATCGCACATTGAATATCTGTATAGGTTCATGATAAATGATGAAATGGTTGAGTTATAAAAAGTATATTCAACATGTCTTATTTTTTGTGCATCATTATAACAAATCATACATCAATTCTAAGACCTGAAACAGTGTCAGTGAAAGTGCAGCTCTGTAACTGCTTTTATTGTATTCCTAATTTCACTATGTTTACATTACATTTATCATTACATACACAAACATAGCATTTTAAAGTAAAATTGGCTGCCATATTTTTACAGTTTTTATGTTATCATATTTGGCTCTTTAGCTAATGACTAGCCACCTAATACCTAGCAACCAGTAAATAGCTAGCCTTACACTGGGCTATAAACACATTTTTTTATAAATATACCTTTATATAGCTGAATTAGAAGTATGGATTGTATGGAGTAAATTGTAACCTGTTTTTTTAGGCTTTACATAATAAGATAGGTCAATAAAGTACGGTTAAGCATCAAAATATTTTCTGATAATTTTATGAACTGTATATTCCTCTATTACCTTAACATAATTGTTAAAAGCTAATATAAAAATATTGATTTATTTAATGGTAGCTATGCAACAGATAAATCAACGATAAAAGCAAAATGTATGCAGCCTAAAGGCTTCTGTCTGAGTATAAGCACTAAACCGTGTATTATGAGGAATCATGTACTTGGGGCCGTATTTTGTAGGTTAGAACTAAAAGCAAAATCAACATATCCTTACATGTGTTTGCATCTGCATCGTGACCACTCCAGGGGCGATACCATAGGGCACCATTGGCGGTCTAGGTGGAAACGACATCACGCCCAAATTCTACAACCTAACTCATATAATGACACTTCACCACAAGCAACCTTTTTATGACGCGTACGAAATAATAAATTTCTTAACAGACAACATTGCTGTTTTACGTTAAGTAATTATGTTCTTGTTTAACAACCAAGTAGTACCACGAAATTAGAATGAAAAACTTTTAGATCCATACATTTATGTACTTCTCAACATGCAAAAGCAGTACATTATTTTTTAACATATGTACGCCATCTTAATTCCTTCTAAGCGAATAGTTAAACGTCAAGTTACGATGCCAACCTCCATAGATTATATACTTATTATAAACCGCAACAGAATGAACACTCTAGAATCAAAATATGCAAATCCCAAATGTAACGAGGTATAATCATATAATGCAGTATAAAATATCTGTATACTTCTATGGGGATGTACACTTAGAGGTGGAGCGTCGATTATTCGAACGTCGTTTAACCGAATGAACGCTTATCCGAACAGTAGTAACGCGCGGGGTTAACGGTTCCCCGCCCGACCCAAATGATAAATATGCTAAAAAATCTTGATTGCCACGAATGTGATGAAGTAGAGGTTCAACTCAAATTATTCAGGATAGTGAAATTTTAGACCTCATGACTGATAAGGCCAACCTCACCGCTAACACCACCTAACATCAACTACAAGTTCAAATAATGAAGATGAAAACGTAGTGAGTGCTTCTGAAGCATTTACTGGCTTAGATATTGCCTTGCGTTGGTTGGTGGAAACACAGGCTGAAAGCGACCAGGTATCAAATATCTGTTCTTAAAAAGTACGTGATCTAGACGCTCGTAAGCGGGTGGCATGTTTCGGCAGACGAAAATTCAACATTTTTAACACATGTTTTACTATAAGATTACATATCTGCACTTTTTTTTGTTTATTTCATATTTGTCATTAAAGATATATGTAATGTAAGCATGATTTTCATTTACCTGTACGTAAATATGTTTGTCTGAATGAATATACATATAGATAATTAAATTATCCGAAAATACCGGTTTTCCGAACACTCACGTCGCCTAATTACTTCGGATAATCGACGCTCTACTGTAATATCTTAAAGACTTTTTTGTCTAAATTTTTTGTTTATTGTCTTATATAGTGAAATACCGGATACCGAGGGGCCAGGAGGCGAACACATCTCTGTTTTTGTTTCACTGGTTAATTTTATTAAGGAAACAAAGTAACTAATATATCGCGTTTTAAACCGTTAAAATGTTTTATTTCAATAAAACAATGAAATCACTGCAAACTTTATTGTCCTATAAATATTACTTGACTAGAAAGATATGTCAAAAATAATGAAAAAGTACGATATACTAAGATCACAATCAAAGAATAGTGCAATATTTTATAACTATTTATATATGTATGCTTAACTTTGTGCAAGTAACATAGTCCCTTAAAAACAAGTTTAATGTAAATTATAATGAAAATGTTAATGACTTACCCATAATATGCATTTATAGATGCCATGTTTACTGACTCCAATATTTTAAATGTGGTCAAGAAAATAAAGTCGCTTAAACAGTAATGGAAATAATGACTTGAACTGCCATTTACTACATATCCCACGTTATGTTAGTAATATAATAGCATATAACTAAAATTTTAGATAAATATACATTTTTTAAATAAAACACTTTAACGGTTTAAAACGCGATATATTAGTTAAACTTATTTGAAAATGATTTTTAACTTCGGCCCGACGTTTCGGATGCTTTGCAGCAGCCGTGGTCACGGGGAGACGAAACGTCGGGCCGAAGTTAAAAATCATTTTCAAATAAGTTTAACTAATATATCGCGTTTTAAACCGTTAAAGTGTTTTATTTAAATGTGTACTACTCGCGTAAACTATAGACAGTATTTAAATATACATTATAAAAAATATATTTTTTTATTATCTATGTACTATGTACAACCAAACTTATTGTAATGTTTACTTATATACATTGAGAGGCTAAAATATCGACAATTTAGCGTTTGCAAACTGTTGTGTTGTGTTGTAGGTAGATTTCTTGTACAAACTTGTACTTATACAAATTTCAGACAAACAACACGTTATACGCAAACGCATATCGACTGTTAGAGATCCTTTTTATCATCTTGTGTGTTAGACTGTATGTCAGTATCTATTTGTGCTTGTCTCTTCCGTCCTAGGAACGTTGCACCGATGTACCCTAAGGCGGAACCAGCCAGAAGTGCGGCTGCTCCAGCTTTAGCGCCAAGTATCAGCCCGACGGGACCTCCTAAAGCCGCACCAGCTGCTGCGCCTCCAATACCGTACATACCGGCACGAATCCTGTCAAAATGATTACGAATTCTAATAGAATTATAAGTTTAAGTAATATTGTCTTTTTAAACCGTTAAAGTGTTTTATTTAAATGTGTACTATTCGCGTAAAGTATAGACAGTATTTAATTATTATGTAATCATAGTTTTAAAATATTCATGTTTGTTTATTTTAAAATTTTAAGTTCTATGGGATAACATAATCTAGTAAGGTTAAATTAAGTTTAAAACATAATATTAGGACTTCAAATTATATAAACACACGTCAATGATTGGGATTGAAAATTGGGTCAAAAACAGAGAAATTTAAATACAAACTTGTCAGCTAGTGCAAGATGTGTCCGCGCATTTTGTACGTTGTCGGCTGCGACTTCCACATTATCTGCGCTCACACTAATCTGAAAGTATTGTTATCAAATAAAGTCTATGGTAACTGTATATGAGGCCGTTAGAGACTGAGTAGCGTAACTGCCTTATGACTTGAGTTATTTATATTTTCATAGTCATTTGCTTGTTATTAGGCCACTAACAACCTCATATTAGCTTTTTCCTACTTCAGTTAATACAAATATTTTTATTAATTATAATTGTCTTATTTTCACATTATTCATAAAGTAGTTTTCCGCACTTGTGAAACACTTTAATTTCAAGTGATGGTATTGATATTTTTACATACTTGTTCTCTATGTCTAAGTGCTTGCGCCTGCACATGCTGCCAAGTGTCATGTAATGCTCTTACTTCACTTTGCAACGAGCTCCAACCAGCTAATAGTTCCTCTCTCTCCTTTAAAGATACTTCCTGAAAAGGAGGATTTTACATACAGTGTGTGCACTTAAATAACTAAGTTACTACCAAACATTACTACAGACCCCCAGTGACACAATGTCCACTAGTGATAAGACGTTGGGATTAGCGATTTTTATTTCTTATATAACAGCATGGATATAGAAAAATAATACAAAATCATATGAATAACTATGATAGCTTACATGAGTGTCAACTTGTAGCTGGATCTGCTCTGATGGATCTGGAATCACTCCAACCGATTCTGTAGACAGTACACTACCAGACACCATGTCTTTTGGCTCAGTTTCATCTAAATGTTCCTTTCGATTTATTGACAAGGGACTTGTTTCTACAAATAGTAATGTTAACTATGTCACATACATATTAAGAGTAAATATAATTACGTTACACATTGTATACTTTAAAATGAGGATGTTGTTGAGATTTAGATAGCTGTTAAAAATTAATAGGCCAAACATTAAAAATGATTACATCAAAGTTGAATGTAAACTGTAGAGTTATAGGGTCAGCAATGCCATTAGTATATTTAGTTGACGAAAATATGTCATTTGTTATAAATGAAAAGACCTTTAAATATGATTAGTCCATACTTAATATTAGTGTAAAATCTAAATTCAAGTTATTGTATCGTTCCAAAACGCTAATTACATATCTCACCAAAACGTGATGGACGCAACTTGTTTGAGTCTATTATTGCTATGCAACTTCTTTCTATCACACCTAGAATATTTTAACTACAATAATAAAAGTGAACATGTCACATGAAAATAACAAGGAAGAAGAAGAATCAAAGTTTTCATAGATTTGCTTTATGATATTCTTCTTCTTAATAATCAATTTAAAGGTGAGATGCAGTGTAACCAGCGTTAGATCAAAAAAATTTGACCATGCTTTTACTAACATTAGCAAATTAATTTCAATATAATATGGAACATGACGTGTTTTATTCCATTTCTACTTCATAAAATTTTAAATTTATTCAGCAAAGTTCCTTTTTCCATTAAATTAAAATCCGTTCTTATTGGACTATATCCTACAAAAACAAAAGTAAATCATCAGCCATCTAAAGATGTATGTAGATGTTGAAATTTAATAAGTCCCTTACCTAAATAGTCCATAATAGATTTAAGAGTGAGTTCTCGGGAATGCTGTGTCAGCTGGTCAAACTTGGCTCTATCAGATATGAGAACTTGTCTTCTCAGACATTCCATTTCTCCAAGAAGACTACGTAACTGTGATGATACTCGACGTGCGTGTGCTTGTTCTGAACGCACTCGAGCATAATCACCTAGTTCCTCATACTATAAAGAAAAATAATACGTATTTTAGGAATAATAAAAAGTTTGTAGTATAAATGTCTTCCTGAAAATGTTTAAAAGCGATTTTTTTAAATGTAGATGAGTGATTTTTCGGCTAGTTTGAATAAATTCAAATTAAGAGTCAATCCGCGAATAGACGAAAACAGAATAAGCCCGTGTCCTTCAACTACAAAACGTTCCAATTCCAATATTAGAACTATTGTGACGTCACTGGTTCTACGCACTATTTACATAATGAACTTAAAATGTAATGTGAATTTTTACACCCAGGCAGTGTTATTAACACTTTATTATAGGTGAAATTAAATAAAACATATACCTTCAAAATATTGGCTTTGTGTTGACGCAATAAATCTAAATGATGTGGGATTGCAACTTCGTTAAATTTTGAAAGTGATAACTCTACACGCTTAAGTGGTAGTTTCCCTTCTTCATCCATTATTATTGATAACAGACTTTGTTTAAAAACTATAAAAAGCAATATTTTATTTCATAACTAAACAAAACTTGTTAATTTTTACAACTGTTTCGCAAGGTGTTTTGGTTTTGTAAGATTTTACAAATGTTTTTTGTTATGACATTCGACAATTGATTGCAGATGCCATTCTGTCAAGTGTCAGTTAACCAGGCTGTGGCCCAAGCACGAATATTTTGACGTACGGTAACGTAAACGTATCGAGTACACGTTACGATTACCCCAGAAAAAAATAGGTCGCAGCACAAAGCACAATTGTAATGTATTCGAGTGCTATATAGTTTACGAATACATGAGTTTTTTTTATACACATATTTATTTGTTATACGATGTTAAAAATCATCTTATTCTTCTTCTCGTTTGTGTTGTTTCATTAAGTGTACTTTGCAGTTTATAAACAAACTAATGTATTTAAATAGAGATTCGTATGTCCTCGTGGCAGATGAGCAACTTCTTTACTATTTGATTTTTATCTGTGGTTAGAGGTCTTTCCTAAAGCTATGTACTATATCTTATTATCTGTGGCAAATCAATTTTAGAATTTAGCTAACGAAAGTAAAAACTAAAAACAATAAAATATTTCTATCATTAAGTTAATACTACATAACCGTTTTTAATTATATTCGTGATGGTAAATGCTGCTTTAATAAAGGTTTTTCTTTGACTGATGACCGTCATCTAATTTCAAAGTAATAGCTACGAAACAAACACCGCAAAATGGATGTCGATACGGGTATGTTTTTCTGTTATAACCTAAGAACCAAACAGTCGACTACATTTTAAACGTTTGTTATTATTTGTTGTTATTACCTAAATATGTACATGATTTTAATCTATTATAACGTAGGGCTTTCTTGGCAATATAGCAAATTAAGGGAGGTACAAGGCTAACTCAAAGCTATGGAAGTATATTGTAGGTGAAAAATCTTATATAATTTTATAAATTACAGATGGAAGGAAATCAAGATCCCGCAGTCGATCTGTAAGTACACTACTCTGACTAAATATTGAAAGCAAGTATATGTTGTAAATGCAGAAATGTATTATTTTTATCCTTTGAAAAGACTTGGTTTTTATAATGAACCATAGAACATATCATCAACAACACTTAATAATATATACTGAAGATTAGTAATAATTTATATTCTACCTCCCAAAATTATGGGTATAATCAATATCATATTGAATTTTTAGGTTGAGTCCGATTCCAAAATGTCTCATGATGGCTCAGTGCGATCCAAATCTAACTCCCGCTCAAGATCAAGATCTAAATCGTCATCACACTCTCGTAGTGTTTCACGGGCGTCATCTCGCTCTGGATCACAGAAGTCTCTTAGATCTAGAAGTGGTTCAGCTAATTCAAATAGGTCAAGAAGTGGATCTCGACAGTCAAACAGGTCGAGAAGTGGCTCTGCTAAATCTAATAGATCCAGGAGTGGTTCACCTAAGTCAAACAGGTCAAGGAGTGGTTCAGCTAAATCAAATAGATCCAGAAGTGGTTCAGCTAAGTCAAATAGGTCAAGAAGTGGGTCTCCAAAGTCAAACAGGTCGAGAAGTGGATCAGCCAGGTCAAACAGATCTAGAAGTGGCTCAGCAAAATCAAATAGATCAAGAAGTGGTTCGGCGAAGTCAAATAGATCAAGAAGTGGTTCGGCGAAGTCAAATAGATCAAGAAGTGGTTCTGCAAAATCAAATAGATCAAGAAGTGGTTCGGCGAAATCAAATAGATCAAGAAGTGGTTCAGCGAAATCTAATAGGTCAAGAAGTGGGTCATTGAAATCTAAAAATGATTCACCAAAACCTAGATCACCCAGTGCAAGTCCAGTTAAATCGAAAAGCATTTCCCCCTCATTACAAACCTCTAGATCCAGAAGTAAATCCCCTCCAGGAAAAGATTCTAAATCTAAGAGTGGTTCTCCAAAATTGCGGAGTGCATCTTTAGCTCGATCGAGATCAAATAGTGATTCACGAAAATCTAGAAGTCGAAGCCGTAGTGGTTCGAAATTGTCAAGACCAAGAAGCAAGTCTAGGAGTCGTTCGCCAAATATGGTCATTTCCCCAACGCGTTCTCCTCGGCGTTCAAAAAGTAAATCGGTAGAAAAGATGGATGTAGATGGACAAGATAAAACTACAGTGTCACCAGCTGGTGAGTGGAGAAAAGTTTTTACTAATTTAAGCAAACAATTTGTATTAACTATAAATTGTAAAAAAATACTACTACAAAGTTATTTAAAATATTTCAGAATCTCGTGGCGGACGGTCGCGATCAAGATCAGCGTCAAAAGCTAAGTCATCCAGTAAGTATCTGCTATCTGGTAACTAAGCATTGTGTGAACAGGTGGTATAGTAGAGATACACATTAGAAATATTATATACTAACTGTGCCAGCGACTTCGTTCGCTTAGAATAGTTAGTTCTGTTCTGTATTTACTCACGACGTTGACCGCATCCCTTCCTGTCGTTCTTGCAAATTGACCTTTAAAGAAATACATATTGCGTTGTAGACTTTTTTTTAAATCATTTAAAGAGGAATCATTCCTTCATACATATTGTTTGGGTATTTTGAACCGTTTTTGCAGCGTACGCCTCGGAAACCCATAATGATGAATCATTTTCCCACTTTCTTCACATTTTTCGCTATATCTTCGCTTGTATAAGTAGTTTTACATAGAACTTTAGATTTTTATCTAAACAAAATAAGGTGTGCCAAAGCCACATATGTTAAGTATATTAAGTAAGAAAAGACTTAAAGAGCTTTACATATGAAACCTTATTATTAATAATAATCTAATATTTGTTTTCTGTGACAGGAGGCAGAAGAAGTCGCTCTGGATCCCGTAAATCCGACTCTCGGTCTCGCTCGCCTAACCGAGTATCCAAATCCAGATCTCGTTCGAGATCCCGTTCTGGTTCTAGAAAGTCTAGATCTCGTTCCGTGTCCCGTAAATCCAAATCACATTCAAGATCAAGATCTAAATCCCGTTCCCGGTCTAAATCTCACTCCCGTTCTCGGTCTAGATCCGGTTCTCGTTCCAAGTCGCGTTCAAAATCTAGATCTCGTTCAAGATCAAAATCAGGCTCCAGATCACGTTCGCGGTCTCGATCCAAGTCACGGTCACGTTCGAGGTCCAGATCACGGTCCGGTTCGGCAAAATCTGTGTCCAGGTATATTACTTTTTGTTATATTACTGGAATTCATATTATCGAAGAAAGAAAAATAATTCGTAACTTTTTTTTAGGTCACGTTCTCGTTCCAGATCAGGTTCCCGCTCTGGTTCTGGTTCACCCTCGAGAAAAGGTTAATATCACTAAACAGTAGGGTAGACAGACGAAATTGTGTTTTTACGCTTGCAATACACATTTAAATAAAACACTAGCGGTTTAAAACGCGATATATATTAGTGAAACGTTAATGTTTTATTTAACAATGCAAGAAACTCATAAAAAATTCAATAACCTGCTAGGTTTAAATAAATTGTGAACATTATATTTAATCAAAGACTCGCCTAATAAATGATATAATTCTAATCCTTGATAGATGCGAAGAAGCGTCGTACAGTGCGGTTGCAATCAGATGATGAACGTGAAACGGCCCCAGTTGAGAGTGAACAAGTTGCAGAGCCCGCAGTTGATAAGGCAGAAGACTCTTCTGATGATGAACTGGCGCCCGACGGTAAAAGGTAGGCATCCTAATAGCCACGGTTATAGAATCGAATTATTATGAACTTTTAAGTTTAGTGCTTATATTAAAAATTTATTTGTCACCTACAAAAGTCCCCCCTTTTTTCCAGCTCGGAAATGATGGGTGGAATGTCAGATTTCGAAATAATGCTGTCTCGTAAGCGAGAGGAGCGGCGCGGGCGGCGTCGCCGCAGGGATATTGGAATTATCAATGACAACGATGATTTGATAGCGCATCTACTGCAGCAGATGCGCACAGCAGCTGAGGAAGACCGCGAATTGAATAAACGAAATCTGCCCGCCGTACGAAAGGTGTCGATGCTTAAGGTACGACTCTTTTATATATTCCTTTAATATATATTGACCAGATGTAAATCATATTTACGGGTTTTATAAATTTCTTATTTTTCTACTTTGATTAATCATGATACACACAATTTATATTCTTCAAATACAAAAGTATTTAATTTGTAAAAAAATGATGACATAGAAATTAAAGACTGTTAAATATTTTACGATACGGGCACGACTTGAATCGGCATCCACAGCACTTCGTGCTATTTAGGTAATTGGTAAGAGTTACCAATCGATGACATAGAACTTAACCTATGATCACTGCGTTCTGTGCTGTTGCTCTTACCAACGCTTTCGTGTCCTAATCAGCTTAATTTATTTCTTATTTTAACGATTTGTTTAACAATGCGCTTAGTTAAGCTTAAGTTTTTAAAATGTCCGGTATTATATAATGTAAAAATCGAAAACAACTGTGAGAGCAACAGCACGGAACGCTGACGATGCCCGTTCAAGTCCTGCCCGAGTCGAATTTTTTTTCTATGTATTTTCGATTTTTAAATTATATGTATAGTGCCTTCATGTGTAAGTTTTTTTATCAATAAGATACTGTCATTTCTTATTTTTAAGTACTGTCTGTAGTTTATCTTTATACAAGTACCGCTTGGGAGATTCCCCTGTTGCTTTGCATAGTTCAGATGTTACAACGTTTAAATCCTTAAAACTGTTTATTCTTTGTGTTTAGGCGGCAATGTCTCAACTAATAAAGCGTGATCTACAACTGGCATTCCTAGAGCACAATGTGCTAAATGTGCTCTGCTCATGGCTAGCGCCCATGCCCAATCGGGCTCTACCGTGTCTGCTTATCCGGGAAAGTGTGCTAAAACTTCTTATGGATGTAAGTACAATACTGCTATATATAGTATGTGAAAATTACTGCCTTTTTGTGATAGGGGATGATAGTCACGCAAGTGGTTTACTCAATGGCATCTAAACAAGATGTCTCTGTTGGGCTATCTTGGCTTTGGATATTCAGAACTCCACACACTGAAACCAAAAAGTGATTAAAAAAATTCACGGCTTTTTCATCTGTTCGGACGGTGGTTTGTGACCGGACGGAATTTCGAAATTCCTACCACCCATTTCATATCCAGATTTCCAGACAGTCCAATATGTTTGAAAAAAAATATAAATTGATTAGAAAAATGTTGGACCTGGTGGGGATTGAAACCACCAGCCGTTGTTTATTACCTGTACATTGCTACCATTACACCAACTAGCCCGTCAGTGTTCTAGACACTGTATAACAAAAAAGATACACATGACACTGAAGGTGTTAATGATGCATGTTTTTTATTTTTTTCATTTTATATTATTACCAGCCAGAACTGATGCGTAAGAATTATAATTTTTTGGAGAAAGAGTTCAAAAGGTTTTTGAATCTATTAAGTTTGACGCAAGCACATTCCACAGATCTTACCAATCAGGTGAATAGCCTTCTGCGAGCCTGTGGTTAAAATGATAAATTTTAAAAAATCACAACCATACTATAATTATTATATCGTTGCAGTTTCCCTCGATAGATAAGTCTCTCCTGAAACAGTCTGGTATAGGCAAAGCAGTGATGTATTTATATAAGCATCCCAAAGAGACGAAAGCCAACAAGGAACGTGCTGGAAGACTTATTTCCGAGTGGGCCCGACCTATCTTCAATCTTTCTACGGACTTTAAGGGTAAAATCAATGTGTATATTGGTCCATTTGATAACGCCTTTGAAACCCCTTGATTGTTTGTAAAAGTGTCTATCAAGAAATACAGAAATAGTTTCAGGAAAATTGAAAAATGTTTTTGAAATCAGATCGCAGAGATATGCCAATAACTTTTATTACTAAAATGTTAGCCACATGCATTTAAGTATTCTTAATTGAACTACTGTAATTATATAATTTATTTAATTTCTTCATAACCTACTATTGTGATTTTGTTAGCCATGACCCGCGAAGAGAGGCAGGCGCGTGACGAAGCGATGGCCGGTCAACGGCGTAGAGACGAAGAGGCGGGGCCTTCCGCTAAACGTGCGCGCACGCTTGATGAACCCGACAGGTGTGTGACACTTTCTCTTAATGTTGTTCTAAGAATATAAATAGTAATGTTTTTAGATTAATACATTGCTCTCAATAATGTTTTTTTTTTAATTCGCGAGTAATGCACATTTAAATAAAACACTTATAACGGTTTAAAACCTACTGCAAAAGCATCCAAAATGTCGGGCCGTAGATAAAATTTATTATAAGCAAGTTAATTATTACATTTCGCGTTTTAAACCGTTAAAAGTGTTTTATCTAACACTAACAAACGTATAGGGGCTTACGTTACACAAAATAACGAGGGGCACCTCGTTATTTACTTTGTGTAACTTAAATGCTTTTGATTCACTTAAGATAATGTTTAAATTTTTTTTACAATTCTTTATCTATACTATGTGAATTATTCGTGATATGTGATGTTAGTATATAATGATTGCAGAACTGTGCGTCCCGGAGAACCTGGATGGGTTGCGCGGGCGCGGGTGCCCCTACCCTCGAACAAGGACTACGTGGTGCGACCTAAGTCAACTTGCGAACTAGATATGTCAAGGGTGAGTTCCTACGTTAGTGGTTTAAAGATGCAACGTTTGTCGATCAGTTCGAATGCTTTGCAGCAGCCGTAGTTGCGGGGAGACGGCTGCAAAGCATCCGAAATATCGCGTCGTAGTTAAAATAATATCCAAATAAGTTTAACTAATATATATCGCGTTATAAATCGTTAAAGTGCTATATTTAAACGTAGTATAGTTGTCGGTAATATACCCATATATAAATATTTCATTTTTACTATAGTGAATCGTGTTCATATGTTTTTTTTTATTGTGCAGGTAAGCAAGAAAAAGATGACGCGGTACGAAAAACAGATGAAGAAATTTATGGACCAGAAACGATTGCGCGGTGGTTCGCGGCGCGCCGTAGAAATTTCCATTGAAGGACGCAAGATGGCGCTTTAAACAAGTCGTGCTCACCTCTATACCGAATGTTATTTACCTCTGATAGGTGCAATTATCTGTAAAGTTTGATATTAGAAAATGCTAAAACACGTATTACCTGTTTTCTCACGGAATTATGTAAATATTAGCACATTCAAAATGCTAAAGGACATTTGAGTGGATCCAAAATGATCTAGAAATATATTTAACCACAATTGATGGTAAATATCACAGACTAAAAACAGTAAGCAGTTGTCAACTATTCAATAAAATATGAAATGCCCAACATTGTTGTTCAATTAATAGAGCAACATCACGCAACTCTGTGATCTTGGGGTCGAGTCCCGCTCGTATCATCATTTATATTAAAAATATTTTTTTTTAACACTTTGCGACTGTCTAACACTTAGGAGGTTTATGCGCTAGAGTGGAAAAACCTTAAGCCTCTTTTCGCCGTAGTCGGATAAATAGTGATGTCGCATAGAAGCAACGAGGTAAATTATATTTAGCGTAATAACATGGTGTAATATTTTTGGTCCTAGTGTATTTAATTATCGACGTTAAAAATAATAGAATTTTGATCAGTGGCGGCTGTACATACCTTGTAGCACTCGTGCGCTGAACCACCAATTCAAAAGACTTGAAATTACTATTTTACGACTCAAAACACCTGACGCGTGAAACAAAAGTTAGTTCATAGATATGTACTGAGAAATTAATCGGTTCCGCACTCATGCGCCGCACGAGACCGGACCGAAGATTGCCGAAGATTCCCGATGTTAAGTTTTAACTAAAAAGCAATTGAACATTTCGCTTGAGAAAAACGTCGCCGCATTGTTTAATGTTTAAAAAAAAACATATTTTATGTCAACTGTTGCTTTGTTGAATTCCTAATTTTAATAAAAGTACCTAAGTAAAGTGCACCTCCAATTCCATAACCCACCAGCCACCACTGATTCAGATAACAATTATAATCAATTATTTGTGATACTTACTGTTTAGGTCAAATAAGTTACACGTGACATTAAATTCTGTTTCCACTAGTCTGCAAGATGAAATTCACGAAATTAACTAACGCCATGACCAACAGATAACGACGATGAATAGTTTGTTTATTTACAACTATAAGAGGCAATAAATGACTGAATTTGTACTTTGGTTTTTATTAAGGCTTTGTAGACAAAAAAAATATATGACCCATAAAATAATAAAAAAAAAGTTAGGGCCAAACACTTTGTTGAAACTTTTTATTTCTATTTCTAAAATGACATCGAACCCTAAACATTATTGATATATTGCTTTGTGATATTATGCTATAAGGGTGAAATAAAATATGGAGTGAAAAATACATATTTAATAAATTAATTTTCTTTAATCTATCCATGAAGGCACTCTTAAAAACAAAGTTTTATTTTCAACGTAGTAAGTTGAAAATTTTCTGAAAACAGAGATGATATAAGAATGCACTGTTTAAATAAAATTACATAGAATTCGTTGATTTGGTGAGTCCAATAAGAATTTAAATAAAACACTTCTAACGGTTTAAAACGCGAATGGATGACATCCCTAACGTCAACTCTGCTGGTCTAGACGCAATCTTTTTCGTCATAATTTTGTAGTAAACCGACTGGCTCCTTACAGAGATGATGTGCTATGTCCTCTGTCGTTTTAAACCGTTAAATTTGTATCGCTCGTATAAACTGAAGTCATTACTTAAGACCAAGATTTTTTTGAGTAGCTTGAGTCCTTTGATTAGCATAAATAGGTAAATTCTTTAGTTACAACTACCTATGATATAGGTATTTAATATAAAGACTATTTAATGAGGTAAGGAGAAAAGCACACAATATAATAGTCAGTAAACCACTGGGTGTGGGGGAGAGGTAAGCGTGTGTAGAAGTTGTACACAATTTAATAAAACCCTTTAACAGTTTAAAACGCAAATTATATTAGTAAAACTTATTTGAAAATAATTTTAACTATGTGGTCACAGGGAGACGGCTGCTGCGAAGCATCAAAAAACGTCGGGCCGTAATTTTATTTTTTTAATAAGTTTAACCGCGGATGCTTCGCAACACGCGGCCGGGGTCGGCGTTTTGGGGTTCCAAATAATGTAAGTCTTATTGTCGTAAATAACTAATATATTTCGCGTTTAACACGCCTGAAGTGTTTTATTAAATTGTCTGCAACTCTCATAAACTACAGACAGTATTTAGTTGTATACAAATTGAACCTTAACTTATTTTTGAACACGCAAAATGTAAATTACGACATTGTACCAAAATTGGGCAGAGGCCATCCATTGAAATTCTAGTAATAGCCCTATTGATGAAAAAGGGAGGAGTGGGGACCAAAATTTCCTACTCATATTTTAAAGCATGTTTCAGGCTATACAATGATGGATAGAGGCCTTTTTAATAGAACATAATAATTGAGAGCTAGAACCACATTCTCCAAAAGGGGTTCGTATGCTTTAACATATAACGCATCTAAGTCAGTAATAATAACCAAGACCCGACGGCTTGACCTACCGAGGCACGAAAGTAATGACGATTACAAATTTAACCCTATATTCACCAAAGTCTATTCATACAAATAAATTTTCCTTAACGGTTTAAAACGAGAAATATATTCGTTATTTACAACAAAATTTAACTACTTTTACATTATTCGGGACCCCCACATACCGCGGCTGCTGCAAAGCATCTGTTACGTATGTCGTGCTGCAGTTAAATTGTTAACTAATGTGTTTCGAGTTTTAAACCGTTAAAAATATTTTATTTAAATGTTTACTACTCGATTAAACTACAGACAATACTTATCTTTGTTTAAGTTAAAGGTGTTTTGTTAAGTTACGCAAATTTTTGGGGGGAACTTTTTTTAAATGTGGAATTTGGGAGTCCTGGATGGCCCCGTTTTACCCATTTTGATACAAAAATAAAATTAACAGCAATATTTATGCGTCATATTGCACTTGTATAGTTCAGTGTTTAATTCGCTAAATGGTCAACGCGAGCGTTTATGGTCAGGGGGTGCTGTGCGGCGGCGTAACCGACGACGTAGGAAACACGCTCCAGCAGCAGCCGCTGCTAGCAGCAGAGCACCTAATGCTGCGCCCAGTGCCGCGCCGCGTAGTCGCCCTGTATGGGGCGTGCTTGTCGCAGCGCCTCCCCAAGCGGCGCCGCATTGTACTTGGGCCCAATACGTGGTGCCTTCCTCCAAATCGCTTACTGAAATTTATTTATTTATTGTCAAATTACGCTTTAATAATACTTATGCTTATGTCGCACCTTTTCCCTCCATTTATGATAGAGGGGGATAGACAAGCACGGGATGGTACGCGAAATACCCTAACCATATAACACCTCAACAAGGTGCGCTGTCGAGCTTTGGATATTCCGAAATCCACAGACTGATGCCGAAACGCGAATAAACTTCACTTTTTTTATCTGCGAACGGAACCCAGATGGAATTTCGACATTCCTACAACCAATTAAATATCCACATTTACATAACTCCAACATGCTTTACAAAAATTATAAATTGATTAGAAAAACTTTAGACCCGGTAGGGATCGAATCCACGACCTGTTGATTACTAGCCATACATCGCTACTATTATATTACATCAACGTGTATATATACACGTCTTACTTAACTGTACGCTATACTCGGATTGTGTACTTACAACATAATTATTCGCGTTTTAACCCGTTAGAAGGGTTTTATATAAAGTAATATGCTAGTTGCCATTTTGTCTGCATTTTAACACAATATATAATAAAGACTGTTGGCCAAATACTAGGTAGATCTAAGCTCTGATCATAAGGAATTAGATCCTTTAAACATTACAATAAAGTTAATATGTAAAAATAAATGAAGTTGCCTTTTAGGATACACGTCCCATTCTCCAAAAGTTTCCACTTATGTTTAATAATAAATAAAGAAATAATTATTACGTAATTTTTTACTTAACGGAGTGGGCTTAGAGAATAGCTAATTATTTTTTATAAAGTTATATACATAGTTTAAAACGCCTTACCTAACAAATGATCGTGGTGGGTATGCAAAACTGAAAGGAGCTGGCGGTCCAGCATTTCGGCTTGTTGATCCTTGTACCAGCGTAGCGTGCAACGGCCACCAATATGAGGACTCCATCGCACTAGAGCACCTTCCTCCACCACTCTAATTCGTACTTCCAGCTCAGCAGCTCCGCCTTCTACAGCAACTGCACCCGGAGTGACCCCTTCCCCCCACGCTGCTTCACCAGCGTTCTCCTCACTCTCGGTACTAGCTTCTGTGACATCCGTTGTAACCACAGCTGCCGTTGCTACAACTGTATGTCCTTCATTTGTATCAACCTCTGTAAATAATTAGCAAGAAAACTAAATTGTAATAAACTTTTAATACAATATAATCTATTGTTTTATAACAGGACAGACAAGCACATTCACTTCATAGAAGGTGAAATTCCCCAGACATATAACAACTAAGCATGACCCATTTCGGCTTTGGACATTCGGACATCCACAGACAGAAACCCGATTAAAATTGACGGCTTTATTATCTGTGGATAGCGGTTTGTGACCCAGATGGAATTTGCTCCATCCACATCCCATCCTTTCACAATTATAATAATTTAAATAAGATAAAGACTATAATTATGTTATGAGCCTGTGAAACAATATTATTTGAAAATGCTACCTGGCGTGATGACAAAAATCGGTTTACTGAAGAGTCCATCGCCGAGCTGATCTTGAGACAGAACTCGCAGCTCGTATTGTGTAGCTGGACGCAAACCAAGAACAGTCGCATCAGTCGCACCACGAGTCAGTACCCTCATAGTGCGCCACTCAGAATCGTCTCTCTCTCTGTACCACACGGTGTATTCTATGTCTCCGCCAGGTGGCGCAGATGCTCCTGGCTGCCAGGATATATGCACAGTTGTTGAGCGAGCACGCGCGGTGAGGCCATGGGGTGCCCGCGGTGGCGCATCCTCCACCAAGACCTCAGTTTCCGCTCGAACGGAACCTGCAGCGTTGCTCAAACTACAAACATACACTCCGCGATCCTCCTCCCTTACTGAGCTTATCGTTAAATTTCCCCCCCTCGAGCGTGTACCGTCCTTCAGGCAAGGGATTTCCATCCTTACGGGTCCAGGCAAAAGTTGGCGATTCAGCATTACTGGCGCTTGCGACACAGGGCAGTGTAATTGGGCGGGACAAGCGCGCCAAGTAGAGCGGCCGCGGGCGCACAAGAAGTTCAGGCGGACGTTGTACTCGCAGTCGTACCCCAGCGCTGGGTCCAGCAGAGCCTAGTGTATTGTACGGCGTGCATGAATATACGCCCTCGTGTGTCTCGTCCACCTGTACATATACTACATACTACATTATAATGTCTACATCGCGGTACATGTTTTAGGCTCTTGTTTGATTGCGATATTACGAGCCAAATAGTTATACGTGTTGTCTAGCATAAACGCGAGAGGTCCTGGTGTCGAATCCCAGGGAATCAATAGATTATTTGCCTGTAAAAGAATCAAACATTGAAGCGAACACAGAAACTAATGTTTTTTTTGTGTTTTGTTACAATGCGTTCTAACGTACATGTTTTGTATTGTAAATACATTAAATACATTCGCGGACAAATAGTTAGCCACCATTGTCCACAATCATTTGTCCATGGTCCAATGGCTTTCCACTGTTGTTAGTATGAAGAACCGTCTTCAGATTATATTGTCAATAGTTATTAATGGGTAAATACGTATTATTTTATTTTAGGATAGTAATAATGATTTAAGAGCGAGTTGCTTTACCTAAGATGGTGCTGTTATCATTTTATTAACATAAATAAAAATAAAATATGTTATTTAATTGTACGACCACAGCTCATATTTACGAAGAACTGCTATGATTCCAAACGTAAGACACAGATTGTATCAACCAGCCATAAAAAGTACTGAGTACCTAATAAGTTCTTAATAAGTACTTAATAAGAAACATGAGTACTTTATTGAAGAGTAGACTTCCATTACGACTGTAGAAGACGCCGGGCACGTTGTAGGGATCGAAGAGGAACCCGTCCTTCTCCCAGCGGAGGTTGGTGAGTGGGGGGTTGGCGCTGAAGTGGCAGTCCAAGCTAGCTGGCTGCCCGTAGCCAAGGTACCTTTCCTTGGGCGAGTACACAACTTTCGCTTTATCTGTGGAAAATATAAAGTAATATTATATATATAGAAAATATATTGCAATGGCACTTCTCTGTTACTATGGCAACCGTACCGTACAATGCGCCTGCGACGCATCGTTTCATGTATATAGACCAAGTTTTGCTGTTCAAGCGAATGGTAGAAAAATCAAAGTTCTGTCCGGGTTAGGTTCTGATCATTGTGTTACGCGAGCTGTTAAAAGTTTAAATCCGAAAGAGATTGATGTTTTGAATTATGGAGAAAATCGAATAAGTTTAATAGAAACGAACACAAAAGGTTAGAGAAAAAGTATTTGGGTTTGTTTGTCATAAAGAGCGCACATTTTTGTAATAAAAATTGGAAATCAATCGATATTTTTTCTAGCGGGATCTCAAACTCCAAAGTTGACTATATCTTTCTTGAATTACATTTAATATTTAAGTAGCAGTTTCTAAATTATTGTTATTCTATTTATATGACTATTTGTTTCGTTTCCAAACAAAAAAAAAACAGTTTCACGTACAATGCACATCCAGATGGGCGCTAGCACTCTGCCGCTGTCCATCAGCAGTGCTGACCCGACACTCATAATGACCCAGATCTGTCGCTAGAGCTCGGTTCAGCACGAGACTGCCGTTCGGTGCAAGCGTTGCTCGCGTTGCTAGCGCGGGCAGCGAATGCACGCTCTCGCCCTCCCGAAACCACGCCACGATCCACTCTGGACTTCGTGGCGTACACTCTAATTCCACACTTTCCCCCTCAATCACTGTTCTGTTTATCGGTGGGGTAACAATCAAGTTTCCACCTGAAATAGATTAATCAGAATTTCATTAATTTAACATTATACAACGTGATAAAGAGGTATAGAGATTGCGAGGCTATCATCAGGCTGCGACCAATGCAGCAGTGGAAAATATAAAAGGAACGGGAACAATAATTCATTTTCGTGGACTTCCGCTCCGTGCTCAGCGAAACGGCTCAAGAAACCAAAAAATATGTATGAGAGAATGATTCTTCTATAAATTATCAAAATAATATATCCAAGATAGTATATATCTGTGTCTTAAGATAAACTCGCAAGAGCGACGACAACCGACCGACGAGACGCGACCGATGACGTAGATAACAGTTTGCAAACAATTTTGGATGCCCAAAATAGCTATTCTACGTGGACGAAGTCGCTGACTCAGCTAGTTTAATATAAAGAAGCTGTGCGCGTAAATTGCTGACCCGGCAAATGCTACGAGGCGATAGCTCATACAATTATAGTAACTTAAATGTCTCGTACCATCAACATCGAGATAATAGAAGGTCCCATTGTTACGGGAAGGTGGTGTGCGGTTTGGAAAGGCCACAAGACATCGGTAGAGGCCCGCATCAGTTTCCCGCACAGAACTAACGTTGATGGCTCCACCGCCGAGGGCGAGTGCGCCCATTTCGTGGCCATCTTCCCCAGCTCCCGGACCGACACGTCTCACGCGCCCACCCCACCGATCAGCCAGTTGTGGTGCCGCATCACCACTGTACCACGAGAAAATCTCCTCACCCTGAGAAATAAGTTTATTTGAAAACTTTAAAATTTTTCACACGTTATTGCGAAATAAATAAACAAAAAATACTAATACAAGAATTTTACAAATATAAGATACTAGCGACCGCCCCGCCTTCGCTCGGGTATAATGCTGATACTAAATACACTACAAAAAAACTTAACGTTGTATAAAAAAACCTTCCTCTTGCACTCTCTATCTATTAAAAAACAAACGCACCGAAATAGGGACCGAAAATAAATAAATAAAAATGAAATTACAAAAAGATGAAGCCAGAAACGGCGGCCGTATCACTAAAAAGCCACTTCTTCCAAGCAACCTTGAAGATGGAGATTTACAATAATAATTGATAATAAGGGTAACTAAATACTGTCTATAGTTTCCGCGAGTAGTACACATCTAAATAAAACACACGGCTGCTGCAAAGCATCCGAAACGTCGGGCCGAAGTTAAAAATCATATCCAAATAAGTTTATTTACTAATATATCGCGTTTTAAACCGTTAAAGTGTTTTATTTATTTTCGATTTTTAAATTATATAGTGCCTTCATGTGCAATAACATGTAAAAATTAATTAAGTAATCAAATCTCGTAAAATATGCACATAAGTGAGTATCGACCATTGCCATTCAAGCATAATGACATTATATAAATTAATCTCTATAATCCATTGAACTACAAACTCTACCGGTTAAAACAACAGTGTGGAACGCTGTGGATGCCAGTTCAAGTCCTGGCCGTTTATTCAGTCTAAAATCAATTAATATTAAGTTTATTACATATAACTTAATATATAAATTACTAGAGTCATTGGCAACTACTATAGTTGATGTATCGATCCAAGTTAGACCATGTTACTATTGTTTAAATAATTATCAAAATAAATCATACCATGTATTTTAAAACTGTTTTACGTAATATACTTTCTTTAGATGTCTGTTCATGCTTTTTAGTAATTTGTTGACTAATAAATTGTTTCGTATTAATAATTGTATCACTATTGCAATAAAACCACTAAAAATAATAATTATTATCATATTTATTTCCATCTTCGTAGATGGGACGAACTATGTCATACATTTTTATATTTTAGAAATGATAAATATATAAATCTATAAATTTTTAATATGTATTTATACTTATAATTATTAAAAAATTATAGTCTTTATTTATATTGAAGAAATACAGAGTATAAAAGAAAAAGTCAATAATAATCTTCCACAGATAAAATATATATCATCTGCAGTTTTTTTTATCAAGTGACTTACGGTTCATGCTTAAAACTTGCCTAATGTTAATTTAGAGCAGGATGCGACAAAGCTGTAATGGCGATGACGAATCATGGTTAGAAATTACTTAAAGTAATGTATCATTAGTGGGAACGAGTGTCGCAGGCGGCTTAGTATGCGCGATTAGAAAACCAGAATTGAAATACGTTTATTCAGAAACAACATAAGATTTACAAATAAAACTTATCGTTACAAATATAATATAAATTTATTCACGTATGGAAAACTACCAGCTAGTACAATAGGATACAAATTAGATGTCAAAAAGCAATAAAAAGTATAATACAATACTATAATACAATTGCCTCTGAAAAAAGACCACTCAACTACTTTGGGAAAATGTCCCAACAACGATAATCTGTATCCCAAACAGAGGCCGAGCTATCGCAAGCAAAATTTCTTTTACATTTTGTCTTTTATACACAAAAATTATATTTTAAATATATTTCCTTCTTCTATATGCAGTCAGTAACATGGTCGTATTATTTTGAGTTTGTAAGTTAACATTTTGTCAACTGTATATAGTCGAAGGAGTTTTGCCTAGAAGGCATTCAAGTATACTATCCCCTAGTGGGGAACAGGGAAAAATTATACTTAGCCTAGCCCAGTAGTAAATCTTTGTTTTCCTTACTATAAAGGAGGGTCGGGGGTGGTAAAGTCATCAAACAAAACATTTTGCCTATCAACTCTTGAAATATTCGGAAAAAATGTACAAGGTTAGCGATGGAAAAACAGTAGACATATGTCTACAAAAACGGTAGACAAAATTTGTCTATCGCGCATGTTAAGCCCGCAGGATTCGTTATGTAGGCCACTGCCCACTGGTCTCTACTATGCAAACAACTATATGAAGATGACACTTGACTCGAGGTCTTTCTTGTGGGACTAAACTGATCAACAGCGTTGTACGATTGTTCGTGCAGCAATCAGCTGAGACTGAATCCCGAAATGCCATAAAACATGTTACTTAATTTTTTACTATTTTTGAATGGACTTTATTGGTTGGTAGTACACATGTAACAGATTGTAACGCGGAATGTATTCGTTAAACCTATTTACAAATTATTCTATCTACGGCGCGACGATTCGAGTGCTTTACAGAACACCACATTGTAGTTAAACAATTTTGAAATAAGTTTGTCTACTTACCTCAATAATAACAATTTACGTTTTAAACGGTTAAAAGTTTCAAAATAATAGTAAATTGTACTTTTAGTGCCTGATGTATATACCAAATAATTTTAAACAAATTTAAACTAAAACACTATTACGAAATAGCTATGTTTATTTTTTAAATATTGCAATTTTAAATGAAACTCTTTAACGGTTTAAAAACGTGGTTCCGGAGAGACCCTCCCTGCTGCTGCTGCAAAGCATCCGAAACGTCGGTAGTTAAAATAATCTCCAAATAAGTTTAAGCAATATATATCCCGTTTTTAACCGTTAAAGTGTTTTTTTAAAATGTGTACTACTCGCATAAACTACAGACAGTACTTTTAATATTCCAATCAATAACCTTTATTATGTAATTTTTAGTTATGCGAGAGTGAGTCTGTTTATTGTGTCTATTTAGTTCGAAACGCGACGTGCATTGCGGAGGGAGAGACAACAAACGATGCACTGATTGCAGTAATTATTATGAAAACCCTGAAGTATCTACGCAGTACAGTCATGACTCGTGTTCAATTTGACCGTTAAAACCCAGGGAGCCATCCAGTAGCCTTCAGTATCCATGATCCATACTTGACGGATATTGAAACGAAACAAACAGTACAAAAAAGTACTTAACCTTAAGCAGATAGACCTAAAAGTTAACTTATTTACACCTACATACTTGGCGAAAAAAAAAATCTATAGCACAGTAAAAGAAACAAGTAAGGAACTGTTCTTTTATTTCATATTTATCGATAAATAAATTTCAAAAATTTAGATTGTCTCATAAGGCGTATTATTTTCTCAACGATTTCCTTAATGAAAAGACGAGAGAATTGCTCCTTAGGTTAATAAAATCACAACAATGTATTAGTTAAAAAAAGACATGTTAAAAAAACCGGACTGTGTTTCTTTGGTGTTCTACTCAGTTATGTTGCTCTTTTGAACACTCTGTAGAATCACACGAACAGACAGACAAACAGACAAACATTTTGACGAATCTAAACAATTTCTAGAGTGTTAAAGAGAATAAAGTATATTTCATTTCATTACTTTTTTGTTTAATAACGATGAATTTAGGAACGATGACTTATACATAAGATTAAATATATTTACCTACAACTTCTGAATTTTTAGATCCCACTAGAATTCAAATTTCTATTACACAAATCTCTTCATTGATCGGCTCAAACAGCTTCTAATATGTAAATAAATTAAAAATCGATGACTCTCGCTGGCATCAATATTTACATTAGGTAAGGTACTATATAATTGTTAAGATTGAAATTACATTCGCGAGCTGTCATGTACCATTGGAGATATTCGACGATGACGACCAATTGGTTGGTGGTGGACCGCTGTGGATTTCGTAAGTCCCGCCATTGTTTAAGACTTTTTAACAATCTGAACAGATACAAGCATGTAAATGTAACATCGTCATATCTATTTGCCAACTGAATAACCCAATGTAACTATGTGTTATACTCACAAAAACGGTTGAATAATTTAACGATACGTATGTTAAATTTATGACAAAAAAGGTTAAATATTTTAGTTGAGTTTTTAATAGCTTCCAACTGCTTCGAGGATAAATATTTTGACAGTCGCCTTGGTCTATTGGTAGCAAAGTATGGTTGATAATCATGTTCAGGGGTTCGACCTCTAATCAATTTATAATTTTTCCGAAACATATTGGACATCGTCTGGGATTCCGGATATTAAATTAGTATCGGGGGCAACCCCGACAGCAAGGTTTAATCGCGTTTCCGTTACAGTCTGTGCATTTCCGAATATCCAAAGTCAAAATTAGTCGACAGTTTGTTATATGGCAAGGGTATTTCACCTTCCAGATCAAGTTCCATCCAAGCCTTATGTTTGAGTCATTCTCTATCATTTAAATATGAAAGTACCAGATACGCTGTCAGTTGATTACATATAATTTGAATGCATCTGAAAAATGTTAAACTTATATATATAGCGTTTTAAACCGTTAAAGTGTTTTATTTACATGTGTACTCCTCCGTAAATGACAAACAGTATTTAACCCCTTGTCCTCCATCATAAAAACATGTGGGAATCACATCTCTGGATATGTATACTAATATTATTTAGAAATAGTGGAAATATACTTTGTCATTGAGCGATCGGACCGCGTGACGTCACTTGCATACAAGCGACTCGCAGACTTCAAAAAGTCCCCAAGCGCGCGGTTCAATGCTGGGAAGCCGTGAACCGCGCCGTTAACTAAACAATTGCCTTCCAGCCTCCTCCCACGTCACGTCCCTCTGCACCTGCGCTTTATAAGACCACTAATTTACATTCCTACAAGCGATGTCTTTAGTTATGCGCGACGCCGTATAACCGCGACCGCAAACGGGCAATTATAGTCGTGATATCTACACTACGAATAATATATAGAGTTTATTTAAGCACGCTAATCTCAGGAACTATTTTTTTTAACGTTAGAGGGAAGACACGCTTCACACTCTATTAAGTGAACACCCACTTAGTGGATGGAGAAATACCCCGGCCGTATAACATCTCAACAAGATGCGCTGTCGAAATTTTGGCTTTGGATATTCGGAAATCCACAGACTGAAACCGGAAACGCGATCGACCTTGGCTTTTCCATCTGTGGACGGTGGTTTGACGCGGACGGAATTTCGATAATCCTACCACCACCCATTTTATATTTACATTTCCAGCAGACGAAGTCCAACAATTTTTTTGAATAATTATAAACTGAGCTGTATACGAGTATGTTAAGAAACTACTGGTTCGTATGCAAAAACCGTCCTAGAAGCCAATAAATATGTATGAAAGAATGCTTCCTCTTTAAGTGATTTAAAAATGTCCGCTAGAGTTTAGATCTATCCATTAAGTTAACGTTAACTTGCAAAAACCTTTTTTATGGTAACCTTTGGTCGAAATTTTGCATTTATTAGACTTGTATCAACATCTATACTTACTAAAATATAAAGCTGAAGAGTTTGTTTGTTTGTTTGAACGCGCTAATCTCAGGAACTACGGGTTCAAATGGAAAAGTTATTTTTGTGCTTGTCATTTAGCATTTATCGAGGAAGGCTATATATAGGCTATAAAACATCACCCAGTGACTAATACAAGCGCAGATACTGCGAGAAATGTGAAAATTGGGAAAATTAATTATCATTATGGGTACGCTGCAAGAACGGTTCAAGTTACCCAAAAATTATGTATTAAAGAATGATTCCTCTTTAAATCATCTAAAAGTCCGCGACAGTATGATATGTAAATCTTTTAAGATTAACTTGCGAGAACGATGGAACGCGTCACGCGACCGACGTCGTGGGTAACGAATTTGAATAGGGTAACAAAAGTACTGTTCTACGCGGACGAAGTCGCTGACACAGCTAGTATTCGTATAGTAATAATATTACTCCTGAAAGCGGGTAAGGGCGGACAAGGTTTGTCGAATCAGCTAGTGTATTATAAATTATTGGACTCAGTTAGTAGTTAGTTTTAAAAATATCGGAAATGGACATTTTTTTATTGATAGTTTTATAGTTATATATATCATAAGTCCCCTCTATCCTCATGTACTCATAGGACATTATTAAATTATTTAATGGTTTTTCTAATTACGCAATTAATTATATTCAGATTAAATAAAACGTTTTGTTGTTCTGTTTCCAGCACAAAATGTGATTACAATAAAAGTAATAAGAATTACAGATTTTAAATATTGAAGGCTGCTTTTAAATGCACTACAATTTAATATATTACATAATAAAATTCATTTAATTAACTTGTGGTCTACTTAATATAATATGTAATAATAAAAGGTTAGATTCTTAGTTTCCAAGATTTAAAAGGTTTTTATGTGACCCGAATTCTTTGCTCTCGAGTGTAGTTTACAATTTACACTTGAGAGCCATGTAACTATTAAATTATGTTAAGAATTAATTTCATTGTATTTTATATGAAAACTTAGGATTTTATTCGCCACTATAATGTGTGTATTCAGATAAAATCTTGAATTACCATTACAAAACATAAATGTCCATTTTCTGGGTCTTTTCTCTTTATTTTCGGCACGCTAATTTTAAATGAACGTGTATTTTTGTAAAGTATCCTCATTTTAATATCCGAATGTTGTATGCCACATAGGTTGACAACACATCTAAGATGTAGCACTTTTTAATCCTTTTTACCAAGTGCCCCATGCTTGTCTACCTTCCTCTGTCGTATAAGTAAACAATGAAACGTCTGTTAGATATACATTTTTCTACGTTCATTACTATTATGCCGTCATGTTGAACCACATCTCCATATAATATAAAAAAAGCTGAAGAGTTTGTTTGTTTATACGTGCTAATCTCAGGAACGACTGGTCGGATTATAAAAAAATTTTAATGTTCGATAGACCATTTATCGAGGAAAGCTTTGGATACATAACATCACGCTGCGACCGATAGGAGAAAAAATTAAAAAAAAAGACACGAAAAGAAACATCTTGTAGGGTTGCCGTTGCGTACGAACGGTTCAAGAAAATAAATAATATGTTATATTACACGCGGATGAAGTCGCGGGCCCTGCTAATATATACTTTATACTTCGGTCGTATTACAATGATCCTTTGTATAGTATGTTTTGTCCAAAAAGCGGTCATGGCAACACGGAGGTTTGGCGGCGAATCCATTGTAAGAAATAAGTAACGGTCCAGCGCTTGTGGTCCTTTGGGACAAATGCCCTTCAACTGGTGCGCCTCCCGACGGACTTAACGCACGTATACGAAGTAGGAAATAGTACAGAGCTAGCATTTTGATATGGTTCGGCAAACCTACATCTATATCTAGGAATAACAATATCCATTTGATTTTATATAATATGCCCTGGGCCCGCGAATTAGTTCGCGTATAGTAATGTTGGGCTTCATATTATTTAGTTTTGCAAACAAACTCCTCAACTTTATAAATTTGTATACTGGAAAGATAGATATAATTTTTTTAGTATGAACCGTTTTCGCAGCACACGCAATGGAAGCCCTCAAAAATGAATCATTGTCCTCGTTTTCCCTTTTCCTCGTTTTTTTCCCATTTTCCTCTCTTTATTGGCTCCTTTTGGTGCCAACTGAATGAGTTATAGCGGTCCAACAATAACAAAAAAAAATATTAATCTCATCTTCTATTAATAATTTTAGTAACTTAAGAGAATTAATTACAAAGCATACAAAAAAAAATATTTAATAATACAAAATATTATATAGATGATAAGTTTATCAAACGCGCTAATCTTAGGAACTACTGGTTTGAATTAGTGTACATGTGGTGGTATTGGAAATCTGGAAAAGGCAGGGGAAATTATTCATTCATGCGTGCTCTCGGTGCGTGCGCAGCTAAAACGGTTGAAGATACCCAAAAAATATGCAGGAAAGAATGATTCATATTTAAATGACCTAAAATAATGTCTGCGGCAGTATATGTCTATATTTTAAAAATTAACTCGCTACAAACCGTGTTTTTGGTCATACAATTTGATCGAAATTAATGCAATATTACGAATTATTTATAAGAGTTGTATCGTCATAATAATTATTCTTGCAAACAACTTACAACGTTTTATGGAAAAATCTGTGTAATTAATAAATATCGCGTATTAAACCGCTAAAAATGTATGTGTACCATTCGCATAAGTAAAGGCAGTACCTATTTACCAGTCGATGTAAAATACAAAATATTCTTATCATTTATTTTTTTGGGGGGGGCATTTCTCAGCTGTTATTTCTTCATTATATATATTTTTTATTAATAAAAATACTGTCACCTGTAAACATAATAGACAGTTATTTATTTCATTGTTATCTTTAAATAGGATACTTTTTAAAAATTAAATACTGTCTATACTTTACGCGCGTAGTACACATTTAAATAAAACACTTTAACGGTTTAAAACGCGACATATTAGTTAAACTTATTTGTAAATTATTTTTAGAATAAATTTAACTAATATGTTGCGTTTTAAACCGTTAAAGTATTTTATAAAAATTTTCAAAAGTCGTTATAGAGAAAGTCAATCGGTAAGAGCAACAGAAACGCTGTGGATGCCGGTTCGAGTACCTACCTACTGCCCTTGTCATAATTTTTTTAACGATTTTGAATTGTTATTTTTATACAGACAGATATAGCTCAGTAAATATTAATCAATGTTATTGTTTGAAAACATGGCACACGATGGCATTATATAGATTAAAATTTTTCGCCGATGACGTGAAGACTGGGTAGCTCAATTGGTTAGTGCAACAGCACGGAACGCTGTGGATGCCGGATCAAGTCCTGCCCGAGTGGTAAATATTTTAATCTGTTTTTAAATTATATAATGCTTGCTTTTTAAGTCTTAATAGTAGAAATAAGTGTTTTTATTTAGTAATAAGTAAATACCAAGCAGTCATTGCGATAACTGGTAAACAGATCATAATTGAAGCGTTGTGTTGACCGCAAAGGTAGGTGGTGGTGACCTAAGTTGGACACACGACACTCTTCTACACAATGTATGTCAGTCAGTAACGTTATGACCACTAAAAGTTACCTTAAAATATTTTCCTAAAATACCACTCCACACTTCTATGTTTGTGTTCATTAACAATAATAGCAAACAATAACACTCCCCCGTGACCACGACTGCTACGAAGCATTCAAAACGTAAGATCGTAGTTAAAATCAACTAGTAAATATCGCGTTTTAATCCGTCAAAACTGTCTACGCTAGTACTGTTTACGCGGTACCTTAGTATCTACATGCAAAATACAACACGGTTAACGATTTAAAACGCAAAATATATGAGTAAACTCACTAGGGTTTTACATCGCGACGTAGTTAAAAAAAGTTAATTAATATATTGCGTTTAATTCCGTCAAAAGTGTCTCAATTACACATTTTATAATTTTTGGTTTCAAAGTAATATCTTTTCACCTTATTGTACAAAAGTGAAAATATTACTTTGAAATTTAAAGATATTGACTATCGTTCTTTGTGAACAAGATGCAAAACGTAGAAAAGGACTGACGCAACTTGAAAACCCACTATTTCAGACTCAAGACGACGAATCCTTGCAGCGAAGACCAGAACGTTGAACAGCACTTATACCAAAAGAATTGCGTTGCTCCCGTCGTATGAAAAATATATTGATTCTCCTTTTTTGAATTTTTGAGCCACAAAGTTACAGGACGAAAAACTCACATCCTTATCCCATTGCAGATGGTAGGGTATCTCGTTGCCGAAAGGGAAATCTAGATGACAGTTCATGACCGCGTACCCCCCCACTGAAGCTCGCAGGCGCTCAACGTCCAGAGGCAGTAGGGATCCATGCGCAAGCGACAATAGGATTTGGAGCACCCAAACTGCGCACCACGACCGATACATTGTAGCGCTGTCCGACCACTGGACGAATGACCAGTCCGCCCGCCGCGCGCCCCTGACGTAAGAGGAAGCAGTTTATCCGTCCTTACTCCTTGTTCCCGCCTCGCGGTCATCTTAGCTAATCACTGCCGAGTGGCCGTCGCAGCCGCCACTATATTATAAATACCAATCACGATATTTGACGGGCTCGTTGGTGTAATGGTCGCAATGTACGCTAATAAACGGTTCGTGGGTTCGATCTGCATTTCAACATATTTTTAATAATTAAAAAAAAAATCTGAAACATGTTGGACTTCGTCTGGAAATCTGGATATTAAATAGTGGAGATAAATAAGCCGTGAAGTTTAATCGCGGTTTGGTTTCAGTCTGTAGATTTCCGGATATCCAAAGCCAAATAGTTAGATAGCGCATCTTGGTTACATGCCATAGCACCTACCATCAAGTGAACACCAAACTTGTCTGTCCTCCTCAATATTCATATATATATTATATCATTTAAATAAAATTCTTAACTGTTAAAAACGCGTACTATTGTAGTAACTTATAGCAACGACTGCTGAAATACATCGGGGATGTCAGATGATAGTTACAAGTAAGTTAACAAAGTATTCCCATTTTAATACCGTTTAAAGTGTTTGAATTTATTCTGATCATTAATTTTTATGTGTAAATTAATGAGGCCTACAATATGTCTAGCCAATTAAACAAAACATTAATTACAAAATATTTAATGTGTATCACTTATTAATAACTTTTAAATGCGTACATTGTAGACTTAAACAACAATATTATTTCGTCTAACCATACATTAATAATAATTATATCTAAATTTTGGAATATTTCATTACAAGCACAACATAAATGGAAATGTGGAATTATATGCATAGTAAATACATGGCTTCAATGAGAATTACAGATTTTGGATCGAGTTTAACAGATGAATTAACATAATTATACATAAAAGGTACTATACATTTAAATAAAACACTTTAATAGTTTAAAACGCGAAATATACTAGTTAAAATTATTTCAACAATGACCCGACGTTTTCGCATACCCACAACTGCTGAAAAGTATCCCAAAACCTTGGAACGTAGTTAAATAACTTTCATATAAGTTTAACGAATATATTTCGCGTTTTAAGCCGTAGAAGTGCTTTATTTAAAAGATATCCTCTCATATATTCCAAACAGTAAGTAATTCAGCCCTGCATTATGAGATGCACAAAGTTCTCGTAGTTTATATTTCCTTGCGAGTCTTCCTGTCCCTGCAACAGCTGTTCAACTTCATCGTCACCAAGCTTCTCTCCAAGAGTAGACAGCAGGTGCCTCAGCTCTGCTGATGAGATAAACCCATTGCCGTCTTTGTCGAAGTGTCTTAGACCCTCAATGAAATCATTGGCAGTATCACCACTGCGGGCTTTAGAAATAGCCTGGGAACAAATATGCACATTAGTTTTAATTATAAAATCTAAAATTTAGCAATCTATAGTGCCTTCATGTGCACATGTAACATGTAAAAAATATTAAAGTTTTCGAGCAAATAATGATAGTTAAAACTATTAAACTCAACATAGTAATAAAGTAATATAACATAGAAAATAAATTGAGAGATAGATAACCCAATGTCCTCTGTATAGGATAAAACAGTAAACAGCTTTTGTGGACTGACCTTCTATTGTTAATTGGTTCCCAAATGAAAATAATATCTTTTGCTATGTACAAAACTAGTAGAAACACAAAGGTAGCCAGACCTCAATTGAGGCCTTGAAAACTGTTTATAGCATAAAGTAATTAGTTGCCAAAAATTTGAGTTTAATTGTGTATTTTTATATTATAGCCTCCTTATTTGAAAAGAAGAGAGATATTTTAATACATATGCTATGTGACATAATAATGGCATTGCTAAAGTGCCCTTGAAGTAAGACCATAACACATACTCACCTTGAGCTCTTAATATGAAACTATATAAAGCAACAAACCAATAAATACCTGATATATTGGAAGAAAAACTTCAAATGATATCCTTTCATCAGGCTTTAAGTGTAAAGTGCACTTCTTAACATCTGACTCGGTAGGATTCTGTCCGAGGGCCCTTAGAGCATCCCCAATCTGCGCCACATGTATCTTGCCATCACCACGAGAATCAAACAGCTGGAATGCCTCTTGAAACTCTGAAACAGGATTTCAAGGAATTCGTAATTCCATCTAATGAGAGCAGATCTTTCTAACAGAGTGGTCAATGTACCTTCAACTGACGTGAGTTTTAGCTTAGTAGGCGGATCGTACATAAACATCTTGTACTAAAAGACATGCGTAGGATACAAAGAACACTTTAGCACTGCGCAGTCGCACTCGACAGTTGCTATACGGCCTTTGATATCCATGTTTAAAATACCAACCATATATGGAATGTAGGGCGCTTGCAAAAGGCGACGCTTTCATTAACATCGCTTCGACGTGATTGACGTGAGTCATGGACCAGCTTACAAGACAACGACACGTTCCATACGACAGTCGATATTACCTTATGTACTCGTTTATTGACTTTTCGTCAAGAAACAATTAGAACACGCGATTATCAAGGTATTAAAATAATTATATTATTTATTTCTTACAAGGTGCAACGGGTGACTCAATAATACGTTTTGATAATAAAAATGACTCACCTGCCAACTGATCTTCCGAGTATCCAGCCTAAAACAAGAGAAGAGTTGTTATTATTACGGAAAAATAAAATGTACATAAGTGCATGATAACAACATACCATGTTCGATGGTCTAAATTACGTGTAAGGATGATTACAATGTTTTTAAATAAAATACGGTTCTAATAGGTTTCTAAATTAACATAAAAACAATTTGACATATCAAAGTAGAACAATCAACTTCAAAATTGTTGACGTTTGGCTAATGACGTTTCACTATTCTTACCACAGATGCAACAAACAAGATGTCTCTATAAATAAACTTTACATCATTTCTTACCTGTGACGTACATTTGTTGTTCAGCCGATCTTATCAATATTTTATTGCTGTTATAAAGGTGATCTTGAAATTATAATCAACATAATGATAAAAAAGAGTATATAGTTTTATGCTTTAGCTTTTAGATTTTTTAATCTTACATGATTCTACAATTTTAGCCAGTTGCGATGTGTTCTATAGTGAATACAGATAATAATATTAGTCTAATTCGTATCACATGTTTCCAGTGTAGTCATTTTTAATTAGATATGAATTAGCTTGTACTTGATTACTTTAAATTTTATTAAAATGATTAACAAAAGAAAATGAAAGTGTTGCTAGTTAATTAAAGTGGGTTACGTTTCTGAACGATTCTTGCCATTGATCTTTCCACAAAAAAAAACCGACTGAGATCGACGGCGCTTTAGGGTTGGTTGCCGTCTGCCGATTGGTTCACGGTTCGTAGAAAGATCAAAGAAGGGAAAGAAAAATGGTGTAGTCAGCTAAAGGTTAGTATTTAAATATATAATGTTTTGCGTTATCGGTGATTATAACAGTGTGTAAAGTCGGGATCGATTATTATTATTTTCTAAATAGTATCGTTATCGCGCTGAGTGAACAATGTGACGGGCGACATCGATGTACTGTAAAGGCTTTGTTCGCCAAACTCCACGTGCCTTCCGCCATTTATTGTAAATTGCAAAAGATATAAGCTAGTGATCTTAAAAAAAATACGTATTGGTTAATTGGAATAAGTTCATAGTGAATATTTTAATAAAGATTTCTCTAAATACACGAGAATCGAAATGGCGTGGTCCGCCGAGGCGTTCGCCGGTAGCTTTGCCAGCCTGATAAGTTTTTTCTTTTCAGCATCAATACTCAGTGGCAGCAAACATGAGTTCAGGCGGAGAATTTGTGGAGGGCTGGTTGGTGGCGCAAGTACTGGGCGAGGGTTCCTATGGAGAGTATGTTTATTTTCTGTTGAGTTGCATATTTTTGTACACGTACAATACCTGTAGCATTTTAATTAGGTAACGATGCATCTTAATGTGCTAATATAATATTTTTAAGCTTGTAATATTAAAATCTAGTATGAAATTTTAGAAAGATTTTCCTATGTAAAATTTAACTAGTTTTTTAAACATCACCATATTGCTATAGCTTATCAGCATTTTAGTTTATTCGGCGTCTTAGTTTTTGCATGCAACTTTTAATGACTCAACAACATATATAAAAACTGGTTCCACAAAAACCAAGTATGAAATTATCTACAAACAACTAACTGAGTATAATTATTTTACATCTAGATTCACGACATGAGTTCTGGTCTAGTGATGGTTCATCTAAAGTATTGTTTTAAATATCCTTATTGTAAAAACAAAAGACTAAATAGTTGAAGTTAGTGATTAAAATGTAGGTCTTTTTTTCTCATGATGATTTCTTTCTATTCAACATTTTGTTTTTTTTTTTAAAGGACATAGTTAATTGTTAGTCACCATGGTTATGTAACAAATTACAACACTATAATGAACAAATCTGATTATATACTTTGCATTTAAGCATTTTATATTTGTCAGGGTGCGGCTCCTGGTGCATTCGCGTTCTGGTGCAAATGTGGCGCTGAAAGCGGTGCAAGGTGATGTTGGGGCCCGTGAGGCCGGTTTACATCGTGCTCTACGCCATCCCAACGTACTGCGATGTCTGGGTGAACGTCGGCACAATGGAATGCACTACCTCTTCCTTGAGTATGCTCAAGGGGGAGAACTCTTCGACCGCATTGGTACTGCCCTCGATCCTGCCTACTCTGTAATTGTAGAGTGCGGAAGCAACCGCGATACAGAGCGTGGCGTATCTGTGTACAGAGCCGGACGTGGGTATGGGCGAAACTGCAGCGAGGCAGTACTGGAGGCAGCTGATTGCGGGTCTTCAGTATCTGCACACGCGCGGTGTAGCCCATCGAGACATCAAGCCCGAAAACCTGCTGCTAGATAATGCGCAAACTCTGAAGATTTCTGACTTTGGCATGGCGACACTGTTCAGGGTTGGGACTCGAGAGCGGCTCATGACGCGGGTATGCGGCACCGAACCGTATGCGGCGCCTGAAGTATTGTCTGCAGCAAAGAAAGGCTATCGTGCTCAACCAGCTGACCTGTGGGCTGCTGCACTTGTGCTACTTGCTATGCTTGCTGGAGGTATTTAGCCGCATTTCTTATTACTATTTTTAACTTAAATATTACTGGGTGGTTATGGTCTAATTGTTTTTAAATAGAATTATCATACAACACAGCTACATACTATAATTTAATTTAATTATAATGCTATATTTAATGGTGTATAAGTTGGCTCAACGTTGGATGGTAAGCAGCCGGATTTCGTTTCTTTGGTATCCTAGCTGTAGGTGTTTGACATCCCTAAAGTTACGGTACCGAAGTTATGGATTGCGGCGTACTCGACGTGCACAAGTATAGGAAGGAATTAGGAAAGTTATTGTTTTTAGACCAAATATTACTTAATATAGGTGATTTTGTCACATAATATTTAATATGGTTATTGCCTATTGCAGAGTTGCCTTGGGAGCGCGCAAGTCGAGAAGAAACACGGTTTGTGGCATGGTGCACTTGGATCGAGCAAAATGGTACATGTCCATCTGGCCCTTGGCGCAAGCTGACTCCTGGTGCACTAAACCTCTTAAGAAAAACCCTCAACTCTGATCCTGATCGTCGACCCACACTTGATATGCTGCAACGCCACCACTGGCTAAATGAACAACAAGGTTAATACTAGTAATTAACTGTAGTTTGAGTACACATGTTTTTGACAATTGACTACTGTCAAATGAGGGCTGCATTTTGGTGCATGCAAATGAACACTATACATATATAAACTTAAAATTACACAAATATACCGATTTCGTCCACGTGTGTCGCACAAGTCCAAGCTTCGGTCGGACTCTCATAATAAGATACATGCAAAACTGTTGCCCAAAATGAAACTTTTAAATTACCATACAAGCAAAACAAGGTGTTAAAGCTAGTATAAATATTGGTGTACGAGTGCACGTGCACGAGGTCAGGTACTAGGTGACTCTGAGCCGAGACGATCTCAGAGATGTCTTGTACCTCAGCCCCGAGCCGCAGCCTTAAAACATAGCGTATAACAGTTCGCCCCAGGACCATGGGTGCAATCAGGACATGACGACGCATCAGAAACCTGAGTAATAAATTGTAGATGCTAATTCAAGCCACGATAGTGCGATTTTTGGGCAGGATTGGAACCCAGCAAGCGCAAAGTGCGACGCTTTGGTTATTTAGCTCCGTGACGTGTTTAATGCTCATAAAGCTAGATTACCAAAGCACCGCGCTGTGCCTTTCAACATTCTCACATTGTCATTGGAAGGATGGACATCTTTGTCGGTCTAATACTGGCTGAAAATAACTGTTTTGTAACGAATATTTGATGGTTCATGTTGTTGTATCAACTTCTGTCATTCCAAAATATGTAATTAATTGATCGTAGTAAAGCTTTTTATAAATCTACCTCCATGTATAAAACGTTTTTACATTTTTATAAACAAATATTTTATTTGTATTTTTTTTAGCACTGTAATGTGAAGTTGATTGAACGTATTTTATGTATAGACGATATAGATTCCAAGGACAGGGAGAGCGAACGCGCATGGAGCTCGCAACCCTGTGCAGCTGGAGAGCAACTTAGCGACACAGACATGGACGAATTGCTCAGCTATTCTCAACCAGCACACACCGATGATCTGCTATTAGAAGCAGCCGATGGCACACAGAGCACCCAGGGTTCAGGTCCTGGTGCTCTCTTGCAGAGGCTCGTTCGTCGTATGACCCGAGTCTTCGTTAGATGCAACGAACAAGAAGCACTCCGCACCCTCGCTGATGCCCTGAGTACGAGGGGCTATACATATCGACATCTTCAGCCTAAACTTGTAAGTGACATTTTGAAGTAATTCACTAATCGTAAATTTTACATCTGTCTAAAGTTCTTTATCCCGTACAGATGGCCATCGAGTGTGGCGAGGTGAAAATGCGCGCATGGGCGGTCCGAGTCTGTGGTAGTGGGGGAGATGGCGGTGGGGTGATGGTAGAGTTCCGACGTTCACGTGGATGTGGCCTGGCCTTCAAGCGGCGATACAAGGAGCTTCGAGAAGCCCTACGTTCCATCGCAATACCACAGCCCGTTACTCCATATGAGGACTTGCTGGCACCAGTAACACCTAGAGATTGTCGCATGGAGACTGCCTAGAATTTATAATTGCATGCATTGTTTTATTGTAAGTGCCATGGAAATGTTGTATATGAATTCTTCATTTGTAATTGTTAATGGCTGTATTGTATTTTTGCAAACGGTGCCTAATGTTTGAGCCTAGAAGTGTCATCGTACATAAATTACTCTTAACTGGTGATATTAGTCATAAGTGTTACTTTTGATTTGGGACCAAATAAATTGCAAATTTTTTAAATTATGTATTTTTCTGTACCAAAGCATGATAATAACACGTTTTTACCATTTATTTGTTGACAATTGAAACAAATGAGGCCTAAGCTCTTATTATAATACTAACTGTGCCAGCGACTTCCTCCGCTAGAATTGTTATTTTGGGCATCCAAATTCGTTTTGGCAAACCCCGTCATCTATAAACTTCAGCCGTTATCCACGACGTCGATCGCGTTCCTTCCCATCGTTCTTGCAAGTTAATCTTAAAAAATAGACGTATAACGTCCCGGATGTTTTTTAGATCAATTAAAGAGGAATCATTCTTTCATACAATGTTTTTGGTATCTTGAACCGTTTTCGCAGCGTACGCATCTGAAATGATGAAAATTTCCCCCGATTTGTTTACATATACCGCTGTATCTTCACTATTTACCTATATGGCCTACCTCGATAAATTTTCTAACCAAAACAAAAATAATTTTTTAAATTCGAACCCGTAGTTCCTGAGATTAGTACGTTCAAACAAACTTCAGCTTTATATTTAGTATAGATATTGTAAAAAAAACTGTAACAATCACTAGTAATAACAATTATCTAGTTTGTATATCTTTAACATTTATTGTGGAATGATTTAGATGTGTACTGTGGCTTAGCACTGGAACATTTAAGAAACACACGCTAATATTCGTGGGATATTTCTTATTCGAGTATAATCTGTGACAGACACACATTTTTAATCTTTTATTTTCAATATTTTAACTATGGATGAGTCTGACGTACTGTTAACACTTCAAAAAGTGAAGGTAATTTAAAAATATTATTTATTTAAATAAAACACTTTAACGGTTTTTAGTTAAACTTATTTGAAAATGATTTTTAACTTCGGCCCGATGTTTCGGATGCTTTGCAGCGGCCGTGGTCATGGGGAGACTCGAAGTTAAAAATCATTTTCAAATAAGTTTAACTAATATATCGCCGTTTTAAGCCGTTAAAGTGCTTTATTTAAATGTGTACTACTCGCGTAAACTATAGACAGTATTTAATATTATCTATATTAAAAAGTGTATCACGTTACGGGCGTATTACTTTTTTTTTTCAATCTAAACAGATTTTAAATTTCTACTATTCCAGCATGTATGTTTTTTTTTTACTTGATCTTACGTATTGAGTCGAAAATGGGCCTCGAATACTAACCGGGCGTTAGGGCGAGCTCGCTGTCTGTTTGCGGCTAGACCAAGGGTGCCCCGAGGGGGGGCATGGGCCTCGGTTTGGACCGCCGCAATGCGGGTGGGAGCTTGAGGAGGAGGAGCTGGACGCAAGCTCACCCGGGTGAGCGGAGCATGTACGTAATACGAAAAGTTTTCTAAAGGGTATGTTGATAATTAAAACTGCAAATATTATTCAACTGATTTATTACAAAAGTTATTATCATCACATGACAGTTAAATATGCACTAGAGTCCTACCGTTCACCAACTACTTGTTGCCGATCCTACTGATACTGATGAACCCTGATCCTACTCGATCAATCACGTAAGCTTGGCAACAACAGCTAGGCTATTCTAGAGCGACATTCTTTGTATACATCCACTCGACTATTGCGTTAAAACTAGATACATTTTATTACTAGATCGCAAATAATAATCACTATGATTTCTATGCTTTTTGAAAATGCTGACAATAAATTGTGTAAGGCTTTCACGGCCATCGTTCAGTATATCATTGTTTTTCGGGCTGTTCGGCCGACGTGAGCGAGAAGTTCTCGACGTTTCGCCATCACGAGCGGACGGCATTATCAGGGAATGTTAGCTCCTCGATTGCTCGTAGAATTCTTAGCCCGAGAAGCAATGATATATATATAAGGAGACTTTTAAATCAAAAATAATATATTAAGGGCATAAAAAATGCGCCAAGAAAACGAAAGTACCTACTGAATCTCTGAATTAAAATATCATTGTTTTTTTTAATGCCAAAAATTGTTTGGAATATATTCCTTCATTTGGGCGGACACTTCAAGGTTGAGTGTGTCCAATATAATCAAATGCCTTCCTACAAAAAACCTATTTTAAACTAAAGTTATCTAACAGCAATAATTATTGAATCAACGATGTCGTAACCATTTTATATTATAGGACTTTTCAGTTCATAAAAACACCTACAGCATTAGATATTGAATAAAAATCATAATATGTGTAAGCTAAATCACAAACATTCTTTTTAAGTTTTTAGTCTGTACTTAATTACGAAAAAACAATATAATATTTATTTTTGACAGTAGGTACTACATCTTTAAAAAGTGATAGTAAAAGAGGCATAAACACATCAGTGCTAATATTACAGGAATGAGATGCAAAATTATGTTGAACTTTCACGATACATTATAAAATCTAGTCTAATACTGGAGAAAGGTGCGCAAAAAATAAGCCGTTTCCCCATTGATGTAGACCATTAAAACTTACTTTAGCTACAGTTGTTAAAATGCAAATGCACAAAGATTGTTAAAATACTTATATTAGGTAGAAAAACATAAACAGAAAGAATGTTCTATGCCACAATATAGGTATATATGCTTATTCGTACATATCTACGAAAAAAATTGTTACAGAATAATTTAAACTTGTCTAGATATTAGTCAAATACTACTTATCCGATACTTTCTGTAGTTTACGCGATTAGTACACATTTAAATAAAATGCGAAATATATTAATTAAACTCGTTTACAATTTATTTTTACTACCGCCCGACGTTTCGGATGCTTTGCAGCAGTCATGGTAACGGGGAGAATAAAGATGGAGGGTGTCTTTAATGTCAATGTAGAAACTCCTAGCGCCATCTGTTGCTTTGGCGAAACGGACCGGGCACATATCGCGTTTTAAACCGTTAAAGTGTTTAAATACATATTACTGTTTATCCGGCTTTGCGATTCGTAAGACTAGATACGAGAGAATAATATTTATGTACGAACTGGGGTTTCTGTTACCTAACATTTATTTAAAGACAAGTGCAATAGTTTTTATGATATGTGGATGCACATGTCAAAGACCAGAAGAGGTTATCGAACATTCTAAGCACGGACTACAACAAAATGGAAACACAGAAGCTCTATTCCATCTTATCTCTATAGGTCTAGGGTTACTTACGTTAATATTATCTAAGATTTGAGACTAACCATAAACGGAGCAAGAGTAAAGAAAATACGAACGAATTTCCAATCGACGTACTACAGTGCTCTTCAAATTTTTGTGCCGGACTGAAGTTAGCGCAGATTGAACGCAAAAAGGAGGTATCAGTTACGACAAAGGGGATGCGGGGGTGCGCGGGGCGGGACGAAATTTTGCTTAAAATTGACAGTACTATGCGCAAGATGGCGGTCGCGCTAACTTCAGCCCGGCCGAGATGTTTGGAGTGAACTGTACTTCATTTTGGGATGCCAAGAGCAACATACAATCTAATTTGTATACATGAAGTATTGAGCTTATTAATGTCTATATACAGCACGATCGTCCGGTACATGACCCCAAGCCCCAACAGGCCTGTGAAACCGTCGAGCTTATAACCACTCTTGCGGTCGTCATGAGATTGAAGTATTCGCTCTATTTTGCTTCTTCCGCATTTACAGCGTTTTAGCCTTTTCTAGAAGATCTTTTATAAATCTCTGAAAATAATAAAACATCATTAGTTATAGTTAAAAATCATTGGCAATCTATCTTGGCATACGCTCTTTGGCTATATGAAATGCAACCAAAGGTTGATTATTATCATAAAAACAGTTCTGGTTGTTGTTGGGAGTTAATCTTAAAAGATATATACTGCAAACATTGTTTAGATTCTTTAAAGAACTTCTTTCCTACATATATTTTTTAGGTATTTTGAACCATTTTCTCAGCACACGCAATGGAGCCTATCCAAAGAATAATTTTCCCCGTTTTTTCCACATTCCCCATTGTTTCCTCACTCCCATTAGTCGCATAAGTTTTATACCTGCCTTGGTAAATGATCCAACCAACAAAAAAAAACATTTTCAATTCGAACCAGTAGTCAGTAGTAAACAAACTCTTCAGCTTTATAATATTAGTATAGTTTTAAATTGGCCTTATTCTGGTAATTCTGAACGCCCTAAAGTAAAAAACACTTACATGTACATCTTTTTGTGGTTTCTTAGCATCCGCCAGCAACACCTGTAAGATACACAATATTTATATAATAGTTTTAATTACGTTTTAACTCCATTTACGGATTGCGGTGTACTATACCCACAACGCAACTCCGTTGGTTGGTTTGGAAGAGTACCGTCATAAATTTACTTATAAAAATCTTATTTTACCTTTACAGGATAGTAATATGTGATATAATATTAGACAGATGATAAGAAGGATTGGCGTTATAACGATATATAAAAAGCTAAAATAGGTCCATAGCGCGTCTTGTACAGCTGTAATATGGCTAGGGTATTTCTCCTATCATCAAGTGCTTTTCTATCTTCCCCAATAAAAAAGTACTTAAGAAAGCGCGTGGGTGACATCGCCTTCTTCCAAACTTAGGGCTTATAAGTATTTTCTTAGACAAATCCTATATACTGATATGAATAATCCTCCGCTAGCTCACTGTCACATACGAACGATGGCGCGCATTTTGTCGGCTAAGCCTAATTTTGGATAATAAATGAATATTTTCGAATTTAACATTGTGTTTCCATCTTAATAAAAACGGCTTCTCCGCGCGACCCTTGGAAGTCTGGATCTATAGCCGAGTATACTAACATACATATTTAAAAATATAATCCCACCAGTACTTACCGTAAGATGTCGCCAGCGTTGCTCCTCGCTGTCCATATCCAGCAGTTCGTCAATGTCAACTTCTACCTCTTGCGAGGTATCTGATGCACTGGCTGCGCCGCTCTCAGTCTTTTAAGAAATAAAACTATTAATAAGTGATAATAAATAAAAAAAGTTATTCTAGGCGTCCAAATTTGTTTGTGTAACCTCCTCTTCCATCTACATCTACCTCCAACCCATGACGTCGTTTGCGACCCGTTTTGAAAATTAATTTTAATGGACAAAATATCGTGGACATTTTTTAAAACATTTAAGAGGAATATCATTATTTCAAACATATTTTCGAGTAGGTTAAATGTATATATAAAAAGACAATACAATGTTATAATTCATCTAAAAATAAAATGGGAAAAGTGGAACAAACTAACTTTATTCATTTAAATAAAACACTTTAACGGTTTAAAACGCGATATATTAGTTAAACTTATTTAAAAATGATTTTTAACTTCAGCCCGACGTTTCGGATGCTTTGCAGCAGCCGTGGTCACGGGGAGACATTTTTAAATAAGTTTAACTAATATATCGCGTTTTAAACCGTTAAAGTGTTTTATTTAAATGTGTACTACTCGCGTAAACTGATAGACAGTATTTAACTTTATTCATGTTTGAGAGTTTCCGTTGCGTACGCTGCGAATATGGTACAAGATACTCGAAAACATCTACCAAAGAACTATTCTTCTTTAAATAAAAAATGTCTACAACTACGCGGGTAAGAGTTATAGTTTATAAAGATGGAGGATGATGTTGCACGAACAAATTTGGACGCCCAAAATAACGTATTTATCCGGACGAATACATATGTTAACCACGATTGCTAAATGCCGACTTCTGAATATTATACCTACATAGACTAAAATAGGGTTAGCGACAGCCAACCTTAGAGTTTCATTAAGACATTTATATGTTATCTACTCTATCTAAATATTTACCGTGGCAGGTGACTCATACAGTTTCTGCAACTCGTCGTAAAGCCACATTTCAACGGCCAGTCGTTTCCGGATCAGCGCCATCTGGTGGCTGCCATATTTTGCTGTCAGGAACTTTTCACGGCGCTCCTTCACCTAAACAATCATTTAAGAAGAATGAAGAATGATTTTAAGCCGATTTATGTAGCTGAAACAAAGTGTTTATGGAAAAATAATTTAAATTAAAAAATCTATTTTTTGAACTACCGTGGCTACGTGAGCCACAGCACGGAACGCTTTATATAGTGCGATCATATGCATAATATGTGAAATATAAAATAATTCTGTTTAAAAACGGTAACCCCATCTCCAAATGATAACGTGTTGTACTTCGTCTGGAAATCTAGATATTTGTGGGTGGTAGAAAAATCGAAATCCCGGACAAACGAACCATCGTCTACAGATGCAAAGCCGTCAAATTTATTTTGTTAAGATGTTATATGGCTTGGGTATTTTGCCAACCATCATGTAAACTCTACGCTAGTCCTCTATCAAATCTTTGATTGACTAAAAGACCAACTGACTGCATTAGTATTTTATCTTATATACCAACCGAGGTCTAGTATTTTTTACCTTAAAAAAACCTAGAGAACTATTTTTGGTCGTGTCTTTTCCAGCATATAAGGCTTTAAGAAATAGTAGAAGATAGAGAAGAGTTATTTAATTTACCTCGCCCTTATCACTGAAGTTGACGTGCAACCCCGCTTTGGCTGGCGAACGTTCTGTGGGTGACAGAGCCGTGTGTGCCCCGTGCACGGCGTGGGCCCTCGGTGGATAGGCGCCCGCCACTCCACACTCCATGGTGCCTCCGCCGCTGCTCCGGCTCTGCAGGTAAAGATAAGAATATATACTCCACTTTGAATCTGTCCTACAGAAGAATATCGTAATTATTAGGTATTTCTTGGGTTGTAGACTCAAGTGGAATTAAAACTAAGCGTTATCCGTAGTTTACGCTAGGAGTAGAGATTTAAATACAATTCTTTTGACGGTTAAAACGCGATATATATATTAGTGAACGCGTTTTCGATGTATCTTAACTGCGGCCTCCGTTTCGGATGCTTGGCAGCACTGTGGTCACTGGGGGACAAGGAGAATGATATAAATAGAATTTATTTTATTTTTAAATAAACCTAAAACACAAAGAAAGTACCTACCAAAAATAAATATTAGAAGTTTTCTTTCTACACAGTTTTAGGTATAAAATACTTATCGAACAGTGTGCAAAGAAGAAAGAAGTGTCAGTAGTCAACATTGCATAATGATCAAAGTAGCTAATAGCACTAATCTTCTAAGTAGATTTGAGAAGAATTAAAAAAAACATTCTATGTACTTTACGCGAGTAATGCACCTTCAAATAAAACATCTTTAACCGCTTAAATCCGCGAAATATACGACTGCTGCCAAGCTTCCGGAACGACCGTATTTAAAATGAATCATCTAGTATATTTTACGTTTAAAACCGTTAAAAGTGTTTTATTTTAAAAGTACTAATACTATACGTATATATTGTGTATGCATATTGTTAATTTCATGTATTGTAAACATTTTATCTATTATCATAAAATTCCGCAATTATTACAGCGTTGCGTACTGTTGCTCTAACCATAGATATGGATGCCGGTTGAAGTGCTGCCCAAGTCGTAATTTTTTTTAAATTTAAATTGGCACAAATTTTGTAAGAACTCATCCAAATAAAACACTTTAACGGTTGAAAAACGCGATATGGCTGCTGCAAAGCATCCGAAACGTCGGGTCGTAGTTAAAATGATTTTCAAACAAGTGTTAGTGAAATATATCGCGTATTAAACCGTTAAAGTGTTTTATAGAAATGTGTTCTACTCGCGTAAACTTCAGGCAGTATTTAAGAACTTATTCGTTGGTGATGTGACTGTAATACGAACGAACCAGATGATTTTCCAATAGTTCACGACTCGGCTCTTTGCGAATGAACGAATGGCGTATGAAACTAGCTGACTAGTGTGAACCGAGGTGTTTGACCTGCGAGGGGCTGTACTCTAATTGCTTCGCATTTCGCACAATAGTCAATACCACTCCGACCCCCGACTCCGAGCAGTTACAATACCTAATGCTCTCTTGTAAGCTCACTTGAATGAACATGGGACTGACAAAAAAGTTAAAAGCGAAGATTATAAAACTACTAGTTGTTACCCACGACGTCGTTTTTTTTAATTATGTCTTATTTTGTAAAACTGTAGTGACAATAAAGTATTTTTTGTTTGTTTGTTTGTTTGTCGTCTGCGTAGAATAGTTAATTAGTCATTAATATATATTATTGCAAATCTCCCTAACTTTATTAATAGCTGTGCTTACTTATTTCGAGTAGAATAGTTATTTTGGGCATCACAATCTGTTTTTGCAAAACTCCTCTTATAATTAAAACACTTTAACGGTTTAAAACGCGATATATTAGTTAAACTTATTTGAAAATTATTTTTAACTTCGGCCCGACGTTTCGGATCTTTGCAGCAGCCGTGGTCACGGGGACACTCCCCGTGTTAAGTTTAACTAATATATCGCGTTTTAAACCGTTAAAGTGTTTTAATCAATTGTGTACTACTCGCGTAAACTATAGACAGTATTTAAAACTCCTCATCTTTATAAACTATAGCTGTTACAAAGGACGTCGTCCGCGTCCTGTCGTTTCTGCGAGTTAATCTTAACTTTGTAAACATTTTTAGTTTATGAGTTTTTTTGGTTTCTTGATTCGTTCGTTCCCAGCGGACGCAACGAAAGCCCTCAAAGATGAATGATATTCCCCGTTCTTCCACATTTACCATGGCTCTTTGCTCCTCACGCATGACCATGATAAAGCCTTCCTCGAAAAATGGTCTACCCAACACAACTATTTTTATAATTAGAACTATTAATCCCTAAGATAAGCGCGACCAAACAAAATCTTTAGCTTTATAATCTATACTTATAAAAGCTGAAGATTTGTTTATTTGTTTGAACGCGCTAATTCAGGAACTACTGGTTCTAATAGTTTGTGTTAGCTAGAACATTTATCGAGGAAGGCTATAGGCTATAAAACATCGCGCTGTGACTAATAGGAGGGAAGATATAGCGGGAAATGCGAACAAAACGGGGGAAATTTTTTATCTCTGTGTGTTTCCGAAAACGTTTCGAGATACCCAAAAAATATGTATAAATGAATAATTCCGCTTTTAATTATCTAAAAAAAGTCCGCGACGCTATATATCTAATTTTTAAGATTAACTTGTAAGAACGACGGGAAGGGACGCGACCGATGTCGTCGGGACCAGCTTAAGTTTATAAAGATGATGGGGCTTACTAAAACGGATTTGGATGCCCAAAATAACGATTATCGCGGACAAAGTCGCTGTGAAAGCTAGTATTAGTATAAATCAGATTACGTGATGACCGGAAATAACTATTTAATTTCTTAGTTTAACTTTCTTTTGATTCTAAAAACAGAATAATTCAATTTTGAATACAACACTGTAACGATTTAAAACGCTATAAGCATCCAAAACGTCGGGTCGTAGTTAAAATAATTTCCAAATAAGTTTAACTAATATATATCGCGTTTTAAGGCGTTAAAGTGTTTTATTTAAATGTGTACTACTCGTGTAAACTGTAGACAGTATTTAATTTCAGGTTTATTCCATCACCTGACTTCTCGTTCATCAATCATTTTAAAAAAGATGTTTCATTTTGGGTCCGCTGTAGAGCAAGTTTAAATTTAATTTAAAAACCGCCAGACAATTTCGTAAAAAAAGTTCAAGCGGACTCTTTAATATTCGGGTACGTAGAAATAAGCCCGCAAGCTGCAAGGTGGGGGGGGAAGTCTACTGTCTAGTGTCTAGACTTTAAATAGTCTAGACGAGGATACAGCGTTGCGGTACCTTTTTAATACAGTGAATTTCAATTAACACCCCAAACTACGTAAATAAAAATAAAATAAAAATAGCTGATCCGCCGAACGTTTGTGAACGAATTCTTTTGTTGTTTGCTATCATACATGAATGCATTCATTTGTTTATCATAAACATTGTTTTTGTGAGTTAATCTTAAAAGATAATCCATAAACTGTCGGACATTTTTTAGGTCATTACAAGAGGAATCGTTGCCTTTCATTTAATAATATCTACCATATTTTATATTTATTTGAATCAATCAAAATGTATGATACAACGCGGCCATTTTGTCAAACTTTTGGGTTTCTTATCTGTTCCCGCCGTCGTGATTAAGATTTTATGTAATTATTATTGCGTAATTTGCGTTTGAAAGGGGGAATTTGTTTATATTTTTTTATCTATTTTATCTTTGTCCGTCTGCATAGACGGTAATCTTTTAATCCTACTGCACGGATGTTTTCGCTTTCTCCGCCAAAAGGTAAATTTAAGAGGCGTCTAGTTGTGGATATATTATGTTTAAACTATTTATTAATCATATTCTTCAATACATTACTGGTACATATTTTTAAACGTTTCATGTTTGCTAATGTGACTTAACCACTCGGGCGAAGTCATATTGTTGTTTGTCAAAAAACAGAAATAACTGCAAATAAATGCAAAAAGAACTTATTACTTACTAACTGTGCCCGCGACTGCGTCCGCGTGAAATAGTGAATTGGGGTAGAATTTTCAATTATTGAGGCTGTTTATTAATTTATGTAAGGGCGCATTTAAGGCAGCCAATCTATGGTAAGTGCTCCTTTGCCGCAACACTCTCACCTCACCTCACTCCTTCTTTAAATCCCACTCTCATTCCTACCCTCACTCCCACTCCCACGCCCACACCCACACCTACTCCCACTCTATTCCCAAAAAGCCAAAGAAGAAAATTTCATTGTTATAGCTTCAAAAACCATGAATTGCCATACAAACTTTCTTCCCCCCTTTAACCCTCTCGCAATAAAAATAAAAATAAAGCCTAAGTCCTTATTCAGGGTCTAGACTATCTGTATACCAAATTTCATTCAAATCCCTTCAGTAGTTTTGGAGTGAAAGAGTAACAGACAGACAGACAGACATGTTACTTTCGCATTTATAATATTAGTAAGGATTTATTTGTTATTAATTTTACATGACATATACATACTAAGCGTCTTATGGTATGGTATTTTATATTCTGCAAGCGACATCTCTTAGTAAAAAAGTGCGAAGCAATGTGAATAATTCTAAGATGTCGTTGACTCGGCAGAACCCTCCGTAAGCGCACAGTAATTATTTATTAGCAAGAAGGTATTTCAAGTGGAACGAACCGAGGTCATCGAGCCTATAGAGGAAGTAGTGAGCTACTAGGACTCAGAGGTTAGAAATATGGTAGTATCACAGTAATCTTTATTGTAGAAAATGTTGAATCTTGGTCCTTGTTAGTATGATTTTAAGCTACGACTGTCCACAGCTAGGCATTGGTCACCTTTCTCATGGAAGAGGCTTAAAATCGCTTCACCCGTCACTTTAACACATTTAAGTAAAACTCTAACGGTTTGAAACGCCAAATATATTAATTAAACTTATTTAAAAATCATTTTAACAACGGTCCGACGTATCTCACGTATGGGATACTTTTTGTCTCCACGTGACCAGAGCTGCTGCAAAGCATCTATAACGTCGGGCCGTAGTTAAAATGAATTTCAAATAAGTGTTACATATATCGCGTTTTAAACTGTTAAAGTGTTTTATTTAGATTATTGTGTTTTTTATCAGGATTTTAACCTGAGACATCTTGGCCTAACACTTGGCAGTGTTATTATCCATTGAGTAACGAAGGTGTTAGTCATGATATCATATAGATAAGCAAAACGCAATTTGTATCGCAACGTGAAAATGTTAGCG